CACAAAATACTATCTTTATTAAAGCTGTAGGTTCTCTGTCAGCTGAGGTTGAGCTGTTTTAATATGCATTGAGTTCTATGGGGAAAATTTCTGGGTAGCCCACGTGAATTTAGTCTGGTTCAGTCTGCAGTACCGCGAGAATCCCCTGAGCACATGAGTTATTCAGCTACAAGCTAGTAATACCCTATCCAGTTAATATAATACATCCATGCACTGAGCACAACCATTCATTTGAATAGGGCGCCATCTTGAATCGCCGGGGCTTGAGTGCCGACCGTTTCATGGCCAACTCCTATGAACGGCGGAGATAGGCGTGATTCTGTCCGTTATTATATACAGTCTATGATTTCAACCAGCAAAAAAAAAAAGCAACACATTTTTTGACACTGAATTTTTTTCAACATTGAATATTTTGACATTGAATTTTTAAACATTGAATATTTTGACACTGAATTTTAAAACATTGAATTTATTTACACTGAATACTTTTTTGTTACTGTTAATATAATTCAAAAGCAAAAAAAAGTGTTGATAATAAAAACACAAAATAACCTTCATAAAACAGATCTGACATTAAGCATAGCAAGTTTCAAAGTGTCAGTGTCAGCGGTTGCGGTCGGCTGATACATACACGGAACAAGAATTAGATTTTCATGATTAGACTGACTCCAGATGTTTTTCTGTTGTGTATTCTTTGTGTTATCACTAAGGGAATGGCACAGGTGGCTTCATGACAGGGTTATAGTTATGTGTATATATGTGTGTATGCTCTTACACTGAAGGGTCAAACCGGAAGTGCATTGTATAAATGACGCGGTGCGCTTGATGCGTATGGGTTGTATTTGTTTTCCTCCGGGAATGGTTCGTGTTTCCACGGTTATCCCGCCCTTATAATGCTGCGACCAACAACGTGATCCGCAGCTTTGGAAACACTTTGATCTTTGTGGTTCATAAAGTCAGCAGCTGATTGGAGCAGAGGGAACATCTGCATGATCCCCGTGTAGAGCTCCTTCTACCACCGCAGCTGCTCCTGCTCCGTGCGATCGGTGAGTGTGTGTTATGCTAGTGCTGTTAGCGTTAGCATTAGCCACAGGCCGCTAGCATCTTTTACTGTCTGTTTAATGAAAATGTATTCGTTTGTTAACTTGAACCGTATCATTAACAGAATTCTTGGAGCACATTCACCTCGTGTTTATATTGTTGTCTTTTTATCTGGGATGTTTGTCCCTTATTTTAGAAAGTCCAAGGTAAAGTGCCTCTCGAGGCAGTGGGGGAGCCAGACTTTTAAACAGAGGGTGGCCAGGGGGTGGCAAGGGTTTATTTAAGGGGTCCACATTTATACTATTCCGAAATTTTATTTCACACAAAAACTGGCTAAACAATACATTTTAATCTTGTCATTATTCTTAATATAAAGTGAACTGAGAGCACACTTGGAAACTACAAAGCAAAAAGTGTATTTAAATAGTAGTCTGAACAAAAAAGTGCAAAATAACATAATTCAAACATTGCATTACATTTTTCTTTTAACAAATTTAGCAAATTCTACGGTTCTGGTGTAAAGCAGCAAAGATGTTGACAAACTCATCCATATGTGTAGTGAAGAGGAGTGCACTGACCACTATATTGGAGAAACCAAACAAACTCTACAGAAACGACTTTACCAACATCGTAGAGAAAACTCTAGTGGGCCACAGTCGGCTGTTCATCTCCACCTCAAGGCCTCCAACCACACAGTGGATGACACAGAGGTTAAAATTCTGGCTCGGGAGAAGAATTGGTTTGAGAGAGGGGTGAAAGAAGCCATTTTTGTGAGGAAACAAAAACCTTCTCTTAACAGAGGAGGAGGGTTAAGATTTGTTTTGCCTCGCATCTATGACGACATCCTAAAAACAACGCCCTAACTTGGGACAAGGTCAGTGACATGCTAATGAGTTAGGAGGGGTGAGACCTGCACTCCACTTGAGCATCCCAGCAGACAATAGGTCTGTGACATGCTAAGGAGTTAGGGTCGTTAGCCTCAGCAGGGTCGTTAGACCTGCTCCCTTCTACATCAAGCAGACCTGAGATTGTTTACGAGTTAGTATCAGGATTAGGGTGTGGCTTACCACACCCATAGGTTATAAATCTCCAACGCGCGGTCCGAGAATTCATTCCCTGAAGAAGTCCCCAGGTTGAGGACGAAACGTCGGGAAAACTTGCTAAGAAGTACAGATGATGGGTGAGAAACCTTCCTTTGCTTTGACTAATCCCTGTACGACTGAGGGCTTACACAAACAAACTCATCCATATTCAGCCCTCCTTGGCCCTACACTGAGGATACCAAGATGACTCAATCATCTGCCATAGTAGTTCTGAGATGGTTTTTAGGGCAGAGAAACTTCTTTCACAAGACGCAGTACTGACAGGTATTAAAAAGAGTGTGTGTGAAAAAACGCCTTCTGCCAATAGACAATCCTGCACCTGTCTGCGACACCCTCTCATTCTCTGAAACTCAATTATATAAGCTATAATTTAATACAACACAACAAATTCCTCCTCATCTCAAAACATACTGCCTCCGAGTCTGACCTTCAGGTGAGGTTTCATCATCCTGATCTACAGGCCTTTTCCTAACAAAAAAGGCCTGTAGGCAATGTTTCCTCCTTTTCTTTTCATGTTTACACTAAAGGGAAGAGGCAATGGAAAATACACACGTATGCACACCCGCACGCATACAGGCACGCACACACACACTGCCACACACAGGCACGCACACACGTACACAGGCACGCAGACCCACACTGGCACACACAGGCACGCATACACACGCAGACACACTGGCACGCTGACACACGCACACAGGCGCGCATACAGGCACGCACACATACACACACTAAAGTTCTACAAACTGAACAAGTAATGCGCTGCAGTACGTGTGTCTATACTTTGTGTCAAATGTAAACGGTTGGCTCTGCATCGCTAACTTGCCTCTTTGTTTTCATCATGACTTGGGCACACCTGAGTCCAACAACCCAAAGCATTAGCATACAGCACCGGCTCCACACGGAGTCAGGGTGCGTTCACAGACCGGGGAAACCGTGGGAATTTGTAGCTTTTGGCGTAAAAAGTGCGGAAGATTCTCAAGATTAACATTATTACATTGCCGTCTTCCGAGGGGGGCACTGGGGGTGGCAAGGATATTTTTAGAGGTGGCAGTGGCCACCCTGGCTACCCCTCTGGCTCCGCCACTGTGTATTGTCCCATAGTTGAAATTACAGCTGCGATTGCAATTACTGATGCGTAAAAGACGCATTATTTTAGCGGAATGTTACGAAAATGCGTCCCCGACACAGCTAATGTAGCTTTTGATCACTGATCTACGTGATCTACGAGTGATGTGTGTGTTCAGAGTCTGGGCTTGAAAGTGCATTACACAAAGATAGGAGGAGACGCAGATGCAGCGCTCACAAGAGCCAGCACCTGGCTGAAGAGTGCGCATTATTGATGTAATTATATTATATATTTATTATTGACATCGATAAATACATTATAATGATATGATGTATATGAATATAAGATGTTGTTTTTCTTTCTTTGTTTTCTTAGTTTTTTTGTTTTACATATCTTACAGCTGTGATACTGAAGCAATATATAGACATAGACAAACTGCTTCAGGAAGGGCATCAGGAGTACAGCGTTTTTTTCACTTGTAGTGGAATTTTGTAAAAATTATAATAGTCACAGGTTCAATTTTTTTCCCCATGAACCCCAAGACCCTAAATAACATTTCTATACAGTGTAAAACGTTAGCAATAGCATTTCATTGTGTTTTTCAAAACATTTTGATGAAATTGAATTTCCGTTTAATTTTTTTCTTTGTCTTCATGATTCCATATTTTTTATATAATTCATATGACAGCTGTACACTATGAATATTATAAATCCACAGGTTGTACTGAAAAAAACAAAGTTTACTGCTTGACTCTGCATCACAAGATGACTATTTTATGAGCAATTATACACAAAGAAAACCAGGCGAGGAAAGTTCCCCAAAATGAGCTTAGACCTTGAAGGGTTAACCTTTTTAAACTAACAAAGCATTGCATCTAAATTAGTTTTGTAATTTCTCAGTTGAAATGACGTCCTTTAAAATCTCACGACCGTGATTGAAGCCGGTCATTTTAACATCATCTCTCTCTGGTGGTGGCATAGGGAGTTAAAGGCTGTTTGCATTGCTACCCTCTTCACACTTGTCTCAACATTTATTCTTTATTTCAGATTTTATTTCACATTCTAAAACATTAAATGAAGTCTCTTTTTTTTTTTTATAACACAATGCATAATATTTCTTCTTTAACAAATAATTAACCCGTCTATCTGAGAGCTTATAGGAGATGAATTGAGTAAGCATGATTACTTTGAAAGCGTAAAATTAAATAACTAGAGATCAAAACTTTTCTCTCTCCTGCTTTGACATTTCTCCCTGATTAATAACAGACCTGAAATTATAGTGTTTTGCTCAATTCTGGATTATTTCTGTAATGCCATAATGAGCACTTGCTTCCACTGCAACGAAAAAACAACTGGGGTTATTGTGTGACATCACAGGCATAACCCCAGTCCTGTGCTTTTTTTTTATTTCACAAACTTTACCAGACTTGCCGTATTTTTGTCAGAGTAAATGTAAAAATTATTATGTCTTATTTATGTTTAAGGCTTATAAGATCATACTACTGAAATTATGTTTTTTTCTGCATGCAATTCAAATACGGTGAAATGCCACAGCAAAGGATTTAAGGTTGTGTTTAAGGGAAGATAACATTGATTCTCAGTGTCTGTTCTCATTCATAATGGTATTAATCTTCCAATAATCCATCTTTGTCTCTCTTCCCTCTTCAATATGTTGCCATTCAAAACCAGGAGTATATTTGTGAACGTGTGTTTGCGGTCAACTAAATGTCAATGTAATAACACGCCTCTGATTGGCTGCAAATATTTGAGCTCTCGTGTTAAAAGTGATGGTTGTGTTGTTTGCAGAGATTGAAGCCAGGGAGGCCTGTGATTGGCTGAAAGCAGCGGGATTCCCCCAGTATGCCCAGTTATTCAGAGGTAAATCTAAAGCAAATTATTTATGAGCTTAAAAATTGTATTTCTTGGTATTTCCGACGGTATTTTATGTTGTAGACGGAAAATTCCCCATTGATCTGCAGTGGGCCAAGCAGGACCACGCTTTCTTGGACTCCGATGCAGTTGACTCACTCTGCAGGTAAATACAGTGTCTTGATTTTTTTCTTTAACCGTATAGCAACAGTGTTTTACAGACTTGATGTTTTACGTGTTGAGCAAATTTGGTTTTAACCCATTTATTGCAGATTGTTGAATAGCCCTTGATGTAAAAAGCATGCAAAACCGTACAGAGCAATGACGTGCAGTATATACAGTATAGGATGGCTGGGACCTGCCATCATTGGAAACAAATCATTATTATAGTTGTAATACATAATTTTTTCCACTGTCCTATATTTTTAATATTCCGACCAGTTTTGATCATTTCTTAAGTCAAAATCGCCAAAATTCTGTTTTTCCTATTCAAAGACACAAGGTGAGGCAGCGCTTAGATTGCTCGCTCTGCAGTGGACTGAGTGCACTCAGCTCTTGCTGTTGATATATCGCTGTTTGTTTCAAATATCCTGCTAATATCCGAGTTGCTAACAAACAATCAGCCCAATATGCTATTTCTTTTGCTGGAAAATGGATGATATGATTGAAGATGTTTTTCTCAACTGGACCTTCAATCAAAGCAAGAATTAATATAGACTGAGAGACCGCTGCTGGACTGACAAGGTTAGTCCGGTGGGAGGAAATTGTCAATCTCTGTGTTTTATGTTGAACATTGACTAGATAGCTGCATAATAGTGCTTCTCCGAACAACACTGATTCAAACACTGCTCAAGAGTTCTGCAACTTGTTTAAATTATTGTTTATGTTCCTCGCGTCTCTCTCTTTCTCCCCGCGTCTCTTTCTCGCTCTCTCTCTGCTTGCGGCTCTCTCTCTGCTTGCGGCTCTCTCTCTGCTTGCGGCTCTCTCTCTGCTTGCGGCTCTCTCTCCTCGCGTCTCTCGCACCTGTGCTTCTTAAAGATGTTGTTTGATGCGGAGCAGAAAGTCAGCAGCTAGATTTGTTGTGAGATTAAAAGAAGCTGGTTCTCTTATCTTTACAGTACATGAAGTTTGTGGATGTTATTGTATTGGTGATTAAATGCTATTTCATTTGAATAATAATGGTAAATCTGCTTACCCAATAATAAACCTCACCGCACGTCACTGTTACAGAGTCAGGCCTATGTGAAAACACCATAGACTGTGTCACTACTTTACTTTTGTCTTCAACGTCTTTTTTTTTTAATGTATTTTTTGTTATGTACAAGCTATATTTAATCAACATTCAAACAAAATGTAAAAATGCAAGGCTAGAACATTTAGTGATCACAAGACACTACACCTATATATAGTCAATATTTTACGGTATAATGTGGATTCAAATATAACATATACAGGAAATCCGATTCATCTGTATTGCATTTACCTTTTAATTGCTAATGTTGTACCGATTGGGTTCTTGGTTGGATACAATCAAAGCTGCATTGTAGCAAGCAGCAGATACATTTTTTATTTTTGAAAAGTGGTCTAATGTATATGGGTGTAATATGAATGTGGTATAAATAACTATATTCTCACCGCTCCATTTTTTAAAAGGTTTTTATTTATTTGTATGTGTATTTTTTTATCATTAATTTATTTTGTCAGATTTTCCTCACCCCCAACACACTCCCCTTAACCCTAACCCTTCCTTCATAAAAAACAAATATATATTTCAGTCTTTAAAAAGTTTGCTCTGTGACAAGCAGTAGATACAGAAGATTTTTATTTTTCAAAAGCGGCAACATTTGACATTTCTTAATCTTAACTCCGTGCCACAAGTTCATAATGTTTTGAAAAAGACTCAACAGCGGAAACTCTCAAATCCAAGACTTTACAGATAATCTAAAAAAAAAATGCTATTCACTCTGGTATAAGGGAGGTCAGATCAAAGCTCCTATACTGTAGAAGTCAATCTGTCAGAATATAAAGAAAACACATAGCACCAGTAAGAGGTCTATAATGACAGCATGGGACATTGTCATTTAACATTTTCCTTGTGTCTGTGTCTGATGTGACACCGCGGCTGGAGCAGAGGGAGGGCGACCAACACAAACATCTGTCAGATAGTGATGGTTCTGACTCCAAATGCCGTACCTTCAGCTCTGTATATCACACTGTATTTATATTGACTTTGATTCTAATGGATGTAACACTAGAAGTAAGATTTTGATGCTCAATAATCACGTTCATCATGTTTCTTTTTCTTTGTATTTAAGATTTATGCTGAACAAAGAGGAGTGTGTATAGGGTTACTTGTTGTTGGCCATACTTGCTTGTCAAATATAGCATACAATTGTAGAATGGAAATTTCCCCACTGTGGGACGAATAAAGGATCTCTATAGTCAGATCTTGTCCAGGACCTACTGTGATGGGTGCATGGTTTATACTGTAAGCTCATACTAACAGACCATACAATATTTTTGTAGATTTCGTATTCCAGGTAGTGTTTCAGTATATAATCGTGAATGAATGTGAAATATCAGGATGTGAAAATCGCATTCATCACACACCTGTATGCACACCATACAAGTGTATTTTTTTCAACATACATTTTGTTGTTGTATGGAAACATTACAGTAAATTTAGAACTACTTTAAGACCAATTTGAGTTTCAGTGTGTTGGAAAAATGTAGCAGATGAATTCAAAAGAAGAAGTTGGAGAAGGAAAAAGATTGATGTGTGTGTGTGTGCGTGTAACCATGAGCACATGTAACACAAGTTCCTAGGATTGTCTCCATTAAATATGCTGTAGAATTGAGTTGTTTCAGTTCTATTATATCAGATGCCCGCAAATGTTTATTTCCCTGTTTGAAATCCCATTCTTCTGTTTTCTGTGTCGGTTTCAGGAGATTAAAAACTCTGAACAAAAGTGCAGAGCTGAGGCTGGAGCTGCGTCGATCCAAACGAAGGGTGAGTGTCCCACAGGAGCTCAGCAGGGGGCGCTCTATGCAAAACCCTCATTAAATATCACTGCCAGCAAACAGAGATCAAAGCCCATTTAAAACAGGATTAGAGTGATTTTAGCGAAACAAATGGCTCTTCAGAGAGTTATGGCCTTTATGATGCAATTTCAAACATAAAAGCCGGGTGTTAAATATCAAGGCTGTGTCGCATCTGCTAAAAATGTTTCATAATGTGACTTAATCTGGTCATTTCAAAGGATGCGTCAGAAAAGACTTGCACTGTTAAATAAATCAGTCATGTAGGAGTGGGGCGTACAAACGAAGAAAACATAAAAAATGATGTTAGAAGTAAAATTGTTGTTTTTTTGCTTACAGATATGTGGATATGTAAGCGAGGCATAAAATATCACAGAAGTAGGGTTTTATCTTTCCACAACATTATCCATGTGATCAATGTGACAAACTATACTGAATGTATTCATAGAAATAGAATAGAATTAAGTTTAGTTGCTGAATTTTTGTTCAGCCTTAAAGGAGCAGTATGTAAAAATCTGGCCATTCTCCCTGACTCAGGTTGCCAGATATGCAAACAAATCCAGCTGGGACCATAATATTTGAATAGACAAGAGTTTTGTCAACAACAAATCTATAACCAACGCCTTTTCCAAAAAGGCCTGGAAAGAAATCTTCGTTTTATTCCTTGTTTTGTCACTAATAATTTGAGAATCATAACAAGACCTTTTGTAGTTCTGCGGTCACATGTTACTTTACCAGCTAGATTATCTTGAAGCAGCGTGTTCTGGCAACCCGGAAAACGGTGGCGGGCGAGACATTGAAATAAAAACAGATTTTTGACATATTAGGGCCATTTTATGATGACTTGACACGCAAATCTTACATATTGCTACTTTTACACCAATTTGCACCTGAATATCAAAGAGATCCTTGTAGATTTCAGCAAACATGAATATTGCAACTTTCTCTGGGCACTGAGCTGTTGGAAAGAGTTTGTGTCCCGTGGGGAGACTGTGGCCGAGGACCTATCTCAGAATCTTCATACTGTGTCTGATGTGGGAAAGATCAAACAACACCTCTACTTAAGCCTGATCCACATGGCAGCATAATTAGGTCGATTTTAGCCCTGGTTTTAGTCCGTCAATCTTAAGAATGCTCTGATTATCATAATGTAAGATTATAAGAAGATTGTCCATGCTCGGAAGGACGTCGCAACCATTGTGATCTCATATCTTTGTCCCCGATTTCTCGCCATGTGGGGACTCCCCCAGGACAAAAGAGCTGGTTAACTCTGACGTGTAGCCAATTAAAAAGGAAGGTGTTGACACGGGGAGGAAATACAGGAAGCACAGAGGGAGGGGATTAGAACCACTGTCAGGGCGGCACCAGAAAGTCAACTGCGGACCTCTCACCTCCATATAAAGTAGCAAGTACAGTCCATGCTCATCCTTTCACCAAGGCCTTTTCTTGGATAACATGTGTGTATCAAGTCCATAACAAACTACACACGCATGTCCACCATGTTTGTCAACTCTGAAGTCATGTTTGATCTTGATTTCCATGACCTAAGACTGTCCATGAAACAATCAATCAATGAATCAATCTTTATTTGTTAAGCACATTTTAAGCAGTCTAGGCTTAGCAAAGTGCAATACAGGCAAGTGAAAAGCAGAAACACGTTAATGTATACATTTACATATTCCCACTACCTTTCAAACTTTCTTGTCCTTTTTTTTGTATTTTCTTGTATTTTTTTTTTGTGATTTTGTACTGCTTCTCATATTTTTTATTTATTACGGTTTTGTTATTTGTTTTCAAATGAGCATAGAAGTACAGAGTGTACAAATAAGGTTTTTTTGTTGTTGTTGAAATGTTTTATGAACTGAGTTCGAAACAAAAAAAGATTGATTGATTGATATTTATGGGCATTGGTCAACTCCCTCCCATAGACCAATTCCCATATGTGTTGGCAATTTCAAAGGTTTTGTTAAATCCTCTGAGATAATTACAGTTGTGATTTAGGGCTATACACGAATAAATTGAATTGAATTGAATTGAATACACGTGGCAATAAAAATGATTCTGATTCTGAATAAAAATGATTGTAAAACAAAGTGAAATCCATGAGTGAACTGTGTGACCAAACTTTTATAGTGTGTTTTTAAATTATGTTTGCGGTCTCTCATGTTTGGAAAATTGTCAAAGAATAAAAAATTCTTCCAGTGTGAACCAGGCTTTTGGAAAACTAGGATTGCGGACCACTGCTAAACTTCTACAGCCGTGGCATGAGCAGTGGTGACGGTTTGGTTCTCTTCCTGCAGCAGTGTGCATGGATGGGAGATTAAGCATTTTGAGGTGTATTAATGTCGACAGTCAATGCTAATAAAGCGTGTTTTACTGTACTGCTGCATACATTTCCTGTAATTGTGGGGATGCAGACAGCACAGTGCTCCTTCTATATTTAAAAAGCGTTTGCTTCTCTGGCTGGACATAAATATCTGTGAGGAAGCACCAGGCCCAGTGCTTTGTTCTGGAGAAGTGGTTGGTCCATTGTGTTTCTGCCTGAAGAGGAAATGATTCAGGTCAGAAGCATCTGTTTGTGCAAGACCGGAGCAGTGCATATTATAAGTCTATTGTTTATGAGGAGCAGTTTTCCCAGAGCTCCACCAGGGACCGTTTAAGGCAAAGAGCTTTATTTATCATTATCGTTAAAGCGTGCAGCAAAGTTACGATCAGGCAGAGGGTTTACTTTTGCTACTGCTATCTATCGTTATAATCATGAGAAGTAATATAACAATATAAAACTTTTGGGATGGAAGATGAGTCACTTTCTTATTATGTGCCTAATCTTCCCACTGTGGTAATTTTCTGAGATTATTATTACTTTTTTACATAAAACAACCATGTTTTTTTTTTCTCTATTTTTCTTCCGGAAAGTGTCTTAATCAAATTAGTGTTGTCTGCTAATGAGCAAAAGCATTGACTTGTACAGTACAGTCAAATTGGATAGGTAGATCAAATTAGTGGCACATAGAAATTGAAAGTACATATTTTTACAATGATAATGAATGAAACTATTAGAATCTGCTTTATTGTCCTCTGAGGGATTATTATTTCTTGGCTTGGATGATAATTGCAACATTGTTACACCACAGCAATAATATTCAGCAAAGATTCCAAACTCAATCTCAATTTTTTGTTTTATATTTTTTACTTTGTCAAATGAAATGCCTTATGTTTTCCAATTCAATAATTTTATAGATACAATAATTTGTGATACAAGGAACTAATTCAACTATAGTGTTCTGATGGGTGCGAATGTTAATGTGAATTAAATTATAGAATAAGTAATTGGTATATTTTTCTGATGCAATTATCAGTCACTCACATATATGCACGTATGTACATATAAACGGAAAATAATTACTTATATTAGTTGCAAAATGCCTGATGATGTTTTAGAAATTTGAGGTTCATTGCTCTTTTTTTTTTAGCTTAAATTGCACCATTTTTTTAATTATGTTTATACAGTTTCCTTAGGTGTTTTGAAAGGTGCTTTCAAATCAAATGTATTATTATTATTATTTTATAAAATATGTGCATTTTACCTCCTGAACCTGAAGGTGGGCAGACTCTGTGTAGCTCCATAATCAGAATCTGAATCTGAATTATTTTCATTGCCATTGTGAGTAAGGCACAAACTCGGAAATTGCTTTGGCTCTCGGTGCAAACAAGTTATACATTGAAAATAGGGGTCTCTTGATGGAATACATTAATTATTGTTATTATAAACCATGTGTTGGCACTAGATTATCCAAAAAGTTAATGTTTTCCTCAGCAGGTGGAGAGCGATGATGAGGACTTCTGTGCACTGAGCCCGATCTGGAGCTACGACCGGACCTCCCGAAAGTGGAACCGCGACAAATCCTGCACCGACTGTAACATGGCCTTCACCTTCAGCTCTTACCACAGCATCAGCTACAGTTCCTGCAGTTCAGACAGCGACGCCCAGGACCACACGTCTGCTCCGGCCTGGGGAATATCGCCCTCACTGTCCCCCAGGATTACGGCTCCATCCCCGGGCACACGCTCCAGCGGCTGCCCCTCCCCTGGGTCGTCTGGCGTGAGCTTAGACGGGAGCTTGGAGCGGTCGCGCAGGAAGAACGGCACAAGTTTGTTGAGGAAGATCGATAAGCTGAAGCTGAGGAGGACGTTAGGGGGTTTTGGGCGGAGTCTGGGGAGCTCTGTGGAGGAGGACGACACGCTGCAGTGCACAGACAGGTAAGGCACGTCTTTGTACAAGTTAAGTCAATCAATCTAAGTTTATGTAAGTAAAGAATTTCCAACAATGACATAATTGATTGCAATTGTCAAGTTTTTCCTATAATCAAGAACTATTCTAATTGTAAATTAATTGTAACAGACTCCAAAGTGCTGAGAAATTGGCTTCAAAGAAAAGGCATACACAGGACGCAATTACATGGAAAATATATATGGTTTTTCTAATAGTACAGTTTATATCTATCAGGATGTTTTCCGATGGTATGAATTATCAAAAGTCAATATCAAAACAAAAACGATCATAGAGAGCGATAAACCACAGATTATTTTAAGGTTGATTTTATGGTGAGTGTGACACAAACAGTTACAGAGCTAGAGGAGGAGCAACACTTTGTTCATGAGCACTTCCCTATAGGACTTTAATTAGCTAGGATGTTAACATTGTTTACCTAATGGTGCTTTATGATGTTAAAATGGCCTTTGACATTGAGTTGTGCGTTTATCTCAGTCCACAGAGTCCCAACAGCCCGGCGTCTTCCTGCCCTTCATCTCCTCAAACTAGCAGCCAATCAGAGACCAGCAGTCGCAGTCACAGCCAATCAGAAAGTAGCAGTCTTGTGAGCACGCCGAGCCCTGTGACCCGAGTCCGCAGCAACAGTAAAAGAGGGATAAGCTTCGAAACATCAAACAACCAGAAGGACCAGGTACAGTAGGTGTACGTACAATTGGTGTAATGTTTACTACTGTATTTCATCTTTAAATCTCCATTCTCCACTGAGATCTAGTTTACAAGGCAAGTAGTTTCACAAATTGGCAATATGTTATTATTGGCAACTCATTGATTAACACAACGCCGAGCTGTGTGTTTGTTGAATCTACTCTCCAATGAAAACCAGGAAGTATCTAGTTTATCTGGAAGAGAGAGAGTGCTGATCTGAGCTGTGATTGGGCATCTGCTGGCTCATGACAAAAACAACCACTCTCAGGCCTCATACATAAATTGTTTTATTACTTTCCATTTCCAATACATTGTACAGTATAAAAGTAGTAAACTTAGCATTCTTTAATATTTTATTTCCATTCCAGCAGGACTACCCAATCCAAAATAACGTACATTCCGGCTCGGGCCTTGGCATCCTGCTGGGACACAAAGGAGGGACTTTACCCAATCTCAGAGACCGGATCTTGGACCAGGACTCTGTGAATTGGAGAACTGGTAGTTTCCATGGATACCAGAGGAGATGTGGCAGTAGGCGGCGCAATGGCACCTCTTCCTTGTCATCCACCAATGAGAAGGCTCAGAGCTGTGACGTCCTTGTCACAGAGCCTCGCCTTAGCATCTATGACAACGTTCAACCGGTGATGGAGAGTGAGTGCACTGAGGTGAGAATACAAAATTAAAGAGCATAATTCGACAATACATACAGTTCCTTGCGAAAGTATTCGGCCCCCTTGAACCTTTCAACATTTTGCCACATTTCAGTCTTCAAACAAAAAGATATAAAATTTTAACATTTTGTCATGAATCAACAACACGTGGGACACAATCGTGAAGTGGAACAAAATTTATTGGATAATTTAAACTTTTTTAACAAATAAAAACTGAAAAGTGGGGCGTGCAATATTATTCGGCCCCTTTACTTTCAGTGCAGCAAACTCACTCCAGAAGTTCAGTGAGGATCTTTGAATGATCCAATGTTGTCCTAAATGACTGATGATGATAAATAGAATGCACCTGTGTGTAATCAAGTCTCCGTATAAATGCACACTCTTTGATAGTCTCAGGGTTCTGTTTAAAGCGCAGAGAGAACCATGAAGACAAAGGAACACACCAGGCAGGTCCGACATACTGTTGTGGAGAAGTTTAAAGCCGGATTTGGATACAAAAAGATTTCCCAAGCTTTAAACATCTCAAGGAGCACTGTGCAAGCAATTATATTGAAATGGAAGGAGTATCAGACCACTGCAAATCTACCAAGACCCGGCCGTCCCTCCAAACTTTCATCTCAAACAAGGAGAAGACTGATCAGAGATGCAGCCAAGAGGCCCATGATCGCTCTGGATGAACTGCAGATAACTACAGCTGAGGTGGGAGAGTCTGTCCATAGGACAACAATCAGTCGTGCACTGCACAAATCTGGCCTAAGAGTGGCCATTTCTCAAAGATATCCAATAAAAGTCTCTTAAAGTTTGCCACAAGCCACCTGGGAGACACACCAAACATGTGGAAGAAGGTGCTCTGGTCAGATGAAACCAAAATCAAACTTTTTGGCCACAATGCAAAACGATATGTTTGGCGTAAAAGCAACACAGCTCATCACCCTGAACACACCATCCCCACCTCAGCTGTAGTTATCTGCAGTTCATCCAGAGTGATCATGGGCCTCTTGGCTGCATCTCTGATCAGTCTTCTCCTTGTTTGAGATGAAGTTTGGAGGGACGGCCGGGTCTTGGTAGATTTGCAGTGGTCTGATACTACTTCCATTTCAATATAATTGCTTGCACAGTGCTCCTTGAGATGTTTAAAGCTTGGGAAATCTTTTTGTATCCAAATCCGGCTTTAAACTTCTCCACAACAGTATCTCGGACCTGCCTGGTGTGTTCCTTTGTCTTCATGGTTCTCTCTGCGCTTTAAACAGAACCCTGAGACTATCAAAGAGCAGGTGCATTTATACGGAGACTTGATTACACACAAGTGCATTCTATTTATCACCATCAGTCATTTAGGACAACATTGGATCATTCAAAGATCCTCACTGAACTTCTGGACTGAGTTTGCTGCACTGAAAGTAAAGGGGCCGAATAATATTGCACGCCCCACTTTTCAGTTTTTTATTTGTTAAAAAAGTTTAAATTATCCAACAAATTTCATTCCACTTCACGATTGTGTCCCACTTGTTGTTGATTCATGACAAAAAATTAAAATTTTATATCTTTATGTTTGAAGACTGAAATGTGGCAAAATGTTGAAAGGTTCAAGGGGGCCGAATACTTTCGCAAGGCACTGTAGCTGTAGGGCTGCACGATATTTCGAAGAAATATCGCTATTACGATATTGGTGCGTGGGGTATCCATATCGAAAATATGCGCGATTAAAAATGTTTTAAATTGTTTGTTGTTGTTTTTTTCCTTTATTAAAGACAACAAAACAGACACATAAACATTCCACAATTACAACAAACAAACAAAAAAGTAGATAAATATATGCATTTCAATGTATTTCCTGTTTTTGTTATATGTCTCTTGCGTCTCAATGCAGATTGCAATTTTAGGTGAAAGAAAAAAAAATCGCAATAATATCGTTATCGAAATCATCACTCATATCGAATATGGCTCTCATTTCCAATATCGTGCAGCCCTACGTAGCTGTGTAATTGTGAATGGTGTTTCATGTGACATTACAGGCTATAGGACCGCGTCACTGGTCTTTCCATGCTACAACATTATTCCTTCATCAAAACCACACACAAGATATACGCATCGTAATAAATAAGATTACAAAATATAAATTAAATTACATTTAAACAATGTCCTCTCTGGTGATCAAAGTGGCTTTTTTTTACACAGTGCAGCTTCATAAAAATCTTACTATACAAAATTATTGATATAAAAGCTCTCAAGCTCCTGAATTTACTGTGTTTGTGTTGAATATTAATCTCAAGAACCATTAGAAAAGTACAAAACCATAAAAGAACTTTCAAAACAGTCATGGATTTGAAATATGTTAACCTTGTATCTAAGGACACAGGTATAATTCATATTTAATACATTTAATAAAAAAATCACCTGACGTGTTCCTTGTTCTATCATCCTCCCTCTTCTCTCCTCCTCAGGCGTTTGGTCGACTGGGCTCTGATGACGTCTTCTCTGCTCTGGACCGAGTGTTGGAGCGAATCAGTGACCTGCAGCAGCTGGTCTCCTCCTGGACACAAGACCTGTCTGAGGACCAGGACTGTCTCCAGATCCAAACCTCTGTGGACCAGGACTGTCTCCAGATCCAGACCTCTGTGGACCAGGACTGTCTCCAGATCCAAACCTCTGTGGACCAGGACTGTCTCCAGATCCAGACCTCTGTGGACCAGGACTGTCTCCAGATCCAGACCTCTGTGGACCAGGACTGTCTCCAGATCCAGACCTCTGTGGACCAGGACTGTCTCCAGATCCAAACCTCTGTGGACCAGGACTGTCTCCAGATCCAGACCTCTGTGGACCAGGACTGTCTCCAGATCCAGACCTCTGTGGACCAGGACTGTCTCCAGATCCAAACCTCTGTGGACCAGGACTGTCTCCAGATCCAAACCTCTGTGGACCAGGACTGTCTCCAGATCCAAACCTCTGTGGACCAGGACTGTCTCCAGATCCACAGTTCTAAAGATGAAGGCCACAGCTCTGACGACCAGGACTGTACCCAGATCCAAAACTCTGATTCCACAGAGCTGATCCACGAGACGTTCATGAACCAGGGCCAAGGTGAGGACCCGAGATCTGAGGGAGGACGGGCTGACAGAACCAGCAGGTGAGCTTTACCATACACACAAGGCTTTTCCCCCACTCTTTCACATATTGACTTCTTATTTAGATACATTTGAATCATTGCATGGACGTGTTTTAAAATCATGTGTTAATCTGTCCCATTGAGCAGAAATACACATTTATTTTTGTGTAGATCTGAATGTAGGCATGTACATTTCTCCACTTTCTCTTAGACCAGGAGCGTCAAACTGTTGGAGTCCATTGGGCCCTTTCCCAATGGACTCCATCCATTTCCTCAAGCCTTCAGTCTAAGTCGGGTGGTCTCCTGCCTGGTTGGAATGCAAACCTGCAGCCACACTGGCCCTTTGAGGACCGGTTTGACACCCCTGTCTTAGACTTCAAAGCTAAATAGTGAAGAATAAGCTTAGTTAATCAGAATCAGAATCTGAGTTTTATTGCAATTGTAATAATTTAGTTGTGTTAATAGTTCAATTTTTCACATTTTAAACCTCAGATCATTTGCAAGTGTTTATATAAGGACAAAAGATTACATGTTGTGATTGATGTCACATGTGTGTCCCTTGTGCCTATGTCCGTCAGTGAGGATGGCCCCATGTCCTGCTGCACTAGCTCCGCTTCAGTCCAGACTCTGTCCTGGTGCAGTCTGGCCCTTCTGCAAAAACTGGCTCTGCTCCGTCTCACAGCTCTCATGGACAAGTACTCTCCCTCCAGCCGCCAGGGGTGGAGCTGGTCAGTTCAGTTTTATACTATTACCCTTTCATTTGCTTGCTCTCTATATCAGTGTTCCCCAACCTTTTTCATGTAAACAATCAGATGGCATGTCACCAGCTGAAACTGAAACAAACTCTGCAGCCTTTATTAACAACACAAAGTCATTTTCATCAAAGTGGATAATATAGAAAATCAATGAAGTGCAAAGATTTTTTTTCTAATCTTCTATTTATTTTTTTATTTCACAATATTTTGACCAAGGAGGTGGTATTGGTTAATTTCCCAAGGCGCACCATATAACATCTCAAGGCACACTAACGTTCCACAGCACACTGGTTGAAAAACACTATTGCATTCAAGACCCCACTGCTCTGACCACCTCTCTTTTCACCACATTTTCTTCAGAATCTGATAAATTGTTGATTTGTCAGCTCTAAACTGGTGGTGTTATATCAGCCCCTTGGTGTGATACAGTAATCGCAGTTTTCAAAGATAAAAACTGGCAGATAAAAGCACAATATATCTGTTGTTGACTGTTTACACAATTGTAAACCTGTGTGTAACTGTGTTTATTCTGTTTCTGTGTCTGCACATAGACACTAACTCACTTTTTTATTGAAACAGAGTAGAAGCGATCATAAATATTAATCATTTCATATTTACACTTGGGCTTTAAATATAAAGCCCAACACACTGCGTGTGGAACAGCGTTCCCACACTGTTCTCCGTTTGCCTCTTCCTGAGGCAAACATCCTGCCGCGCCGTGTTTAGACAGCAGAATATCCCATAATGCACTGGTTCTAAGAGATCTCCCATGATGCGTCTGTGCCCAGAGTGAGCAGATCTCCCATAATGCTTCAGTCAGTGTTTTGTGGCTGAACAGCAGACCACACGCAGCTGCTGCACCTGGAACATGAATAATGAATGAGTAGATCAAGACTGAATGTTTACCCAAGTCCTGCATCAGCGCTGGAATGATGGCCCTTCACTCACAAACATACAGGAGAAAAAAGTCCACAAACTGAAATCATGATAATAGTGTGTTACAGTTTGCACTGTATCAAGAGGTACGTCCCAAGCCCGCGTATAGGAGTAGGAGGAACCATCCGCGATCCAGAAAAGTGGACAAACTACAAAGACTGATTGCACTATTAAATAAACTAATAGTGTTTAAGATAAATCTACCCCAAATTTTAGGAAAGAACAGCTCTCTCCACTTTTTTAACAAAACTCTCTGGTCTTATTTGACGAGCACGTATCACCAGAAGGATTGTCAACTGGGAGGACCAAGATCCACCTGGAAGTAGAGACCAAGCCCCATAGATCCAAGATGGCATCCTATTCAAATGAAAGGCTCGTGCTCAGTAGCGCATGGGACATACAGTACAGGGGGGCTAATCCAAAGATTAGTGGAACTTGCCTATGTTTGGGCATTGTCTGGTCCTCCCGGTTCTGCGCATTGGACGAGCGCCCATGATGCATTGCTCCAAATATGTGTGGCTCTCATGCACGAGGACAGAGTGGCTCGGCCGCAATCTGACCAATCAGCGCTGCAGATCAGAGCAGAGTTATAGCAGGAGTTATGGGGCTTTCACACGGCCAACGCTGAAACGCTGAAGCCCCGCTCACCAGACGCGCATTCTCTAGTTTTCAGACGCAGGGGTCTTCACACCAGAACGTCCTGACGCGAGCCGGAAGTACCGGAAGTAGCCGGCCGGCTCTGATGCTAACAGAGTTTAGCTAGCGGCTTCTTGTGTACAGGTCTTCTCCAATATGCAGCTTTGTAGCATGTCTTTGAACAGCGACTTTCCATGGGCTTTATATAACAGTAGTATGTGTTCACGGAGGTGCGCCACACGTTTTTTCATATTATTAAACGGAATTTCCGCATCGGCGAACACACTTGAAGCAGTTGCATAAGGTCACGGGAGCATGACAACGCATATTTTCACAAGCACAGAGTCCCCCATTGTCAACCCTGGTTTGAGTTCTGGTGAAGTCTGGTGTGGGTCCTGTTTTGGCTGTTTATGAGTATTTTCAGTCTGCTCGCTCAGTCCGCTAATGTCCCCGTGACCACTTTGCTGCTCTCTGATTGGTTGTCGCACGAACGTCCCAAGGAAAGGATGAGCAGAATCCATCTCCTGTGGGCGTCGATTTTTCGCTCCTGCTCCTCCCTTTACACTTTCCCGCCAAGTCCGTGCGTGTCTACTGAACAGTCCGTTTGTGCGAACTGAGCGGTCTGTGCGTTGCGACGGCCGAACGCGCGTCACCATAGACTTTGCATTGAAACCCGACGCAAAGCATGATCCGGTCTGAAAGCACCATTAGAGCGAGACAGATATCTGTCCAGATATTATAATAGATCCATGCAGGAGACACTGAAATTAGGTATGTGTTTTGTCTTTCAGGACTGTGCCCAAACCCCAGAGGAAGTGTAAAGGGACAGAGGTCAAAGGTAGCAGGGTGTTTGGGGTCCCCCTGCTGGTGAACATGCAGCAGACTGGAGAACCGCTGCCCCCTAGTGTCCTGCGGGCCATGGTGTACCTGCGCAACGAGTGTCTGGATCAGGTACAATTATGTTTTATTTATATTCATTTATTTTATTTATTTTTTTACTTTTGGCTTCAAAAAATCAGACATAAAACATGAGAGCAGTGCAGAATCTCGTCTTCCATCCCCTCTTGTGGGAGTTGTCTTATCTCACTCCTGTAATGATAAAATAATCCACCTATGACATGCTGGCTCTTTCAGATGGGGTTGTTCCGTAAGTCCGGGCTGAAGTCCAGGATCCAGGCTCTCCGGGAGCAGCTGGAGTCTGGTCCAGACCAGCTCTCCTTCTCCGGACTCTGTGCCTTTGACGTGGCAGACCTGATCAAACAGTACCTCCGCGACCTGCCAGAACCACTGCTCAGCTCCAAACTCAACCACACCTTCCTGGACATTTACCAGTGTAAGGACACGCTTTATAAGTAATCCCTATTTCGTCACTGGTGTTAGTCAAGGTGACGAAGAAAATGAGTACGATGAATGCCTCTCTAGCATACAATTAGTGGTAAAGAGTGAGATAGATTGACTGTTGTTTTGATTGGGATTAAAGCCAAAATATAACATTTTCATTATTATTTGTATAACCAGGAAAGTCCCACTGGGATTTCAGTATCTCTGTTAGAGGGGAGTCTTCGCCCCAGAGAGAGGGGAGCTATTGAACATGTTTTAGTGATAGGAGAAACCAGAGCACACACAGGAAGCCTTTATAGACACAGGGAGAACATGTAAACTCCATTCAGAAAGGCCATGTCTGGAGGTGGAATTGATAGTGGAACAATCACAAACTGGAAATACAATTTTACAGAATGTTGAGAGATCCACAGCAAATTCTAAGACACTTAATTCCTCAAAACAGAAAATGAGGAATCTATTGTTGCAGATAAAAAAGTTCAAATGAATCTTATATTACACTTTATGCACCACAAACGGTACATATTATCACCTACTGTACTCCCAACCTCATGGCTACATTCCCCACACTGGTCACTTCTAACATGCGTCACATGTCTGTAGACTTCCCTCAGGAGGTGCAGCTGGACGCGGTGCAGTCGGCCATCTTGCTCCTACCGGACGAGCAGCGCGAGGCTCTGAGGACACTGCTTTTCTTCCTGTGTGACGTTGTGTCCAGTTCGCAGGAGAATCACATGACCCACACCAACATGGCCGTGTGTCTGGCCCCGTCACTGTTCCACCTCAGCGCAGGACGGACTGACACGCGCAGGAACAGGTGACTTCCCTTTGAAAATATTGATCTAAAAATGATTGACACTGTAGGCAGATTTTATTTGAGTAACAATTATTCCAATTTGCTTAAAACACATAAAAAAATAACTTAAATAACTAAAAATAGATGAGGAAATAATGATGTGGATGTAATTATAATTATTATGATATACCCCACACTATTAAATTCTGATTCCACGTTAACAATTTATTGGTATCGTTTCTTTAATGTTTTTATTTCTTTTACACATTTCCCCTACATTGTGCTACTCATGGACTACATTAACCAGACTCGCTGGTGTCTGTGTGTCCAGACCAGGCCAGAGGAAGTCCAGTCTTGGTCCAGAGCAGAAAGAGCTGAGTGAGAACCTGGCCGCCACCCAGGGCTTGGCCCACATGATCTCAGAGGCGCACACTCTCTTCCAGGTAAAACATTTCAGCAACTACTCTTCATACATTTACATATAACACTGGGGTGTCTAACTTTTTCTTGTGTCATGTATCATTTCAAATCAGACCACGACATGCTGTATTCATAATGTGTTTGATCGTTTTCACACTTGTTTAGAAAGAGCCTTGTGACACTTTAAGCTAAGAGCTGATTGGCTGAGTTAGGGTGGTCCTCTTTGTTTCATTTTTCTGTCCGAAAAAACTCACCTACAGATGTGAGAATGGCCAAAAACCTATTTTTGAGGGAAAGGAACAAGTTTATTACATACATTACCTGTTTTTGTGTTTGCAAAGTTAGGTACCCCAGCTTTAAAACCAGTTCTACAAATCATTAAGTGTCTCTTAAATCTTCCCCAACTCCTGCTATCATAAACTTCAACATCTAGAAATGTACTGTATACTTTAAAATGTAATTACTTTTACCCACCAACATCACAGCAGAGTCACACAATGTGGGTGACGTGTCTTGCCTAAGTACACAACAATAGATCCACAAGCTCAGGCTTTAGTTAAACTAAATTATATAGATTACATTCAGCACCTTAATAAATATTGGGATCAATTATAATTATAATATTTCTATTTTTATCTGCCCAGCTTCCCGGCTATTGGACCGGTCCCACCTCCACCTGTTCTGAATCCGATGAAGGGCTGCGGTCAAACTCATCAAGTTTCTATGGAGATGAGGCTGAGGGGGAGGGGCTAAACGAGTGTCAACTGAAGCTCCAGATGAACACAGAGACTCTGCTGAAACTGAGCCGAGACCAGGAGCAAGTCTGGACCAGTTTCACAACCCCAGATGGGCTGCAGCTGGACTACAGAAAGGTCAGGCTTCTGTTTACGGCATCAGTTATAGGGGCATGAATCTCAGATTGAATATGGCAGCCAAAGAAACCAAAAACAACTATGATGAAGCAATGGCATCCACAATTCAGAGTCCTCATTAGATCCAAGATAAGATCATCCATTCATTCTCTGGAGGAAAAGTTTTAGTATTTCTTTTAGGATTAAAGAAAACATTGTGTTTTGCAAAACCAACATTGTCCCTTTCCACAAAAATTAAAAAACGTGTTTATAGATTAGTTTAATTCATAGGATTATCATGGATATTCTGTACAAACACTCCCCCGACAGATCTGTGCCATACTGGATAGAGCTCTAAGAATTTCTGCCATCAATTTGTGCTATTTTCAACTTTGCAATTTTCACATAATAAACAGTGAAATACCTTGAAATAATTGGACAAAATGTAATGTCCTGGTGTCTGCTGCAGTGTCCAGACCTCAGCTCTCTGCCTTTATGGAGAGCCCGCCTGGAGCTGGACGTCCCTCCTGCTGTGGTGCTGAGAAGGATCCTGTCTGAGCGCGCCCAGTTTGACCCTCGTCTGCAGAGGGCCTCCAGTCTCAGCCCCCTCGGCCCTCACTCAGACCTGCACCAGTACCACATCCAGAGCCAGGGCCACGAGCTGCGTTCCATCGCCCCCACTGTCTACAGCCTGCTCAGGTACACACCATAAAGGAACTGTAGGGACTGGTTTAAAAAGGTACCACTGGTACATCTACTGCCATGTTTTTATCATAGAACTCGATTTAGCAAACTGTGCGAATAATAAACAATATATTTGAAAATAATTTAGATCAGATAACACAATACATGACTTAAACAAGAAAAGAATACTTTTGTTTTCTAGTAGAGGAAATAGTGATTATAGTGTGGGCTCTTTAAAAAATGACTTGGTTCCATCATAGAGTGTATGTTATATCATCAGAAGGCTCCTGATTGGTCAGTTGTTATCTGGATTTAAAAATACAATATCACAATATAAACACCAGGAGATTGTGACATTAAATGGTCACTGAGCCAGAGAAGTTTACTTTCAAATGTAAGTCAACAGGACCCAGAGCGAGTTGGAGCAAAGCTTTGTCCATGAGCACTTCCCTATTGGGCTTCATTGAACTTGAGGGTAAGCCTTGTCTATCTATATTCAGACGATGGGTGCCTTTGCGGTCTGCAGGTGCATCATGGGGAATGGAATTGGGAAAATTGTATTTGAAAGGATTGTGTCTAGTTTCGTCACATTTCCTTTGTGTTGAAGAATGAATCCAAAAATGAATTAAAAAACAATTATTTTTTTCCTTTCCTTGCAGGTCTTGGCAGCCTGACTCCTCCTGCGGGCCCCTGTATGTGTCCTCTGTGTCCGTCCCCCAACAGGACGTCCCAGAGACCGTCCGTGTGCACTGCTGCATGTATCTACTGGAGCCTCAAGGGGACAAAAAGACTACGCTCACCCACCTCTGCAGCACGGAGTACCGGTAAGACGCACACACGCGACGGGGTTTGAATTCGCTAAAGTCTGGGGAGGGAGGTGACTTGTAGGAAAGGTCACATGAAGCCTTTTAGAACTCAGAAATACCAAACACAAGGGGATGAGGGAGCAGCAATGATCAGATTGAATGTACTTTGCTGTTTTTTCTGATTGCAAAAACATACTTTGAGGCCTCACATATTTACTTTTACTAAAATGGACATAAAAATTATCATTTAAGCACTTATTTTGATCCAGAGCTTTAAGATGGAAACATGTACAGTAGTTTCATCACTGTATATGAACCCACAGAGCTGATGACTTCAATATTCGCACTGGAGTGTATTACAGACCTACAGAAGAAACAGACTCAAGTATATGCACTAAAGTATACATGTTTATACTCATGTGTATACATTTTATGCTTTGTTTCTGTATGAAGCTAAAGATAGAGATTTTATTTCATTTTTCAAAAGTATAGTATATAGCTATTCTTCATATTCACTTGTCTTGTCCTGTGTGCTCCTCAATTCTAACGTTATGTAACTCCTGATGCAACACAACATTTTCCCACTGTGGAACGAATTAAGGATCTCTTAATCTTAATCTTAATTTTACACATTGGAGTTCACCAGAAAAGACCCAGCTAGGATAAAAAGCACATAGGGGAAGTTGTTTCAAAGCTACAATAATGACAGTTTCTCTTCACCTTGTTTTTATCACACTGAGAAAAGGTCTCGTGTTTGGACTACAGTTTTCATGTATATCTGTTATGTCTCTCTTTGTGCTCTAGGGGGCGCTCTATGGAGTGGCACGTCAAAGTGAGTGGACACCTTTTGGCCAATGAGCTGCTGTCGATACGAGACTCTTTCGAACAGTGAATCAACAATAAAAAGCTGTGAATCTTGTGACTTTTAACCACGTTGCGACATTGTCCCGTCATCGGAAAACAAACCTGGAGTGGTTTTTGGCTCCATCCAGTCCAACTAATTCCACAAACCCTCCCCATCTGTCCAAATGCTCTTTTTTTTCTCTCGTTCTCCCGATGTTCTGCCGTTGTCAAAATCTTTACAACTGTGTTCCTTCAATTACAGTACTTTGCTGGACTATTAACACTAAAACTCCCAAAGATGTCAATTTTTGTATTCATTTTTTCTGCCTTCATTTACTGATCACAGGAATGAGGGAAGGGCTGTACAAGACACAAAGGGAATGGGGGAGAGGGAGAAGAAAAATAAGGAAGAGAAAAGGGACAGAGTGAGCAAATTTGTCAAATTGGCCAATTAACAATGACTTGGCCAATAATCAATGTCAATTTGACGGCTTTTAGCTTGGTTTTCTACCATAAAGAAATAATTGCCAGTTACCATAGCAACACATTGTTTACTTACAGCCAATAAAACGTTTTGCAATATTTCAATCAAGATTCACCAATGTTAGCACTTATTAAAAGTACATTGGGGAACAACAAAACTTTGGGAATTTGTAATCATTCCATATGGTTGAAAATAAGTGATGCTTCTGGGAGTTCTAGTAGATTCATAATTCTGGGAGTCCTAGACCTAGAGTTAAACGCACCTGTATGTAAACCGCAGCAGCTACACTTGAAAAGAAAGTACATTTTGTCCACATTTAGGCGGCACTTGAAAATAAGCCGCGGGTTTTCATAATTGCATTTTTCAAGAATATATAAATAAATACATCGGCCGCATCACTACACATGGCACAAGGCTTTTTTTACTGTACATTGTTTTATGCTCAATCAAGAATAATGTACTTTACCCTTAGATGGAAGTGTTTTTTTATTCTATTTCTCTTTCTTTTATGTTTAATAAACCCTATGGTCATGTGTCAAGCTTAAAACTGGGGTACCTAACTTTTTCATGAAGAATACATTTTGTTTGCCCCAACAGAAAGAGGCTTGTAAAAGTAAAATGTGCACAAATCAGATCAAAACACGCCGTCTTTATCTTACTACAAAACACACAAATATTGAGCCGATCGGCCGATCAAAAGATGACAGAGGCTGAAAAATAAATGCATGTGAAAACTGTTTTAAGAGCTAGGAATTAGTTTTATTTCATAGTTCAATGTATTTGGGGCTTGAAAATGACATATCCCAACTTTAAGCAGCATCTGATAATAATTATAATTTTTGACACATGAAATGCTAAATCCAATATTCTCAAGATCATGCTTAAGGGACACAAAAAAAGTATTCTGAAGCAAAACAGTGACATAGAACCTCCAAAAGTTAAGTTTTATGGCGTAGTTTGGCCTCATTCTTGGCAAAGAAGTTCGGAGGACTTTTAAACTTATTATGTGTTTTTAATCTTTTTAGTATAAGATTTTGCCTGCACTTGTTTATAAATGTAGATAAGAGAATAAGCATTTAAATTATATACATTTTATACACATTTATTTTGGGTTTTTAAGACCAAAATAAATGTTATGGCCAGCAGAACCAGAAATACAACCAAATACAAAACACTATTATTTTGTCGTATGTTTTAGTGGTTATAAAATCAGCCACTGGGGATCTAAACATCTCACTAATACAGTATCTGCTTCACAAACGGAGGAGCGACCTTGCAGATGCTCGCTAATATCCCATAATCCTTTGCCGTATGTCCCTGTGCAAAGCCGCAAATGCATCCTGGGAATCACAGCGGCCTTTGTGGACAGTCACTTCAGTTTGATACAGTCTGAAAGCAGAAGCATGATTAAAAATGTTTGATCCGAATTAAAGCTGAGGTAACCTAACTTTGAATTCACAAACTTACTAGTTTTCACATGCATGTATTTATTTTTGATTTCTGTCACGTCCTTCGATCAGCTTTTTCAGACAGAGAAATGAAAAAGGGAGGCCTAATCTCAATATCACTGGGCTCTTTCTCACTATGTAAAAGAGATGTTTTCTAATGATCATTACTTTTATGGGTCGTGCTGTTATGGGACAAAACATGTATTATTTATGAGGTGGGAATCAGAACACTGCAAAAAGTGATGAAAAATAAGTCAAAAATGGCTCAGGTTTGGCTCAATATATCTTAATTTTAGCACATGTTTGCCTTAAAACAAGAATTATCAATGGGACAAAGCAACATTATCTTGTTTCAAAAAGATACAATGAATGTCTCCTGTGGAAAGAGAAATTAAAGCAACAGTTCTTGAAAAAAAAAGACTTAATGGCTTTGTCCCATTGGCAAATCCTGTCAGACTATACTCAAAATATTATGAAGACCACTTTATTTAACCAATTATTACCTCATATTTGATCACTCTTTGCAGTGTAAATCTTGTAGAGTCCTTCTAGAAGGGAGTTTTCATATTCAATATAGATCCCGTTTGTAACTGTAAAGGACAACATCTGTGAAATGAAAGCTCGTTTGGGGCAAAAATGAAAAATTCTATCATAAACATGTTGACGCCTCTGTATATTTAGTAATTTGTATTATATACTACTGTAAATGTGTTTCTATGTAAATATGAATGTTTTGCTCAAAGCTCATTTATTAAAGTGTTGCCAAGCTAAAATAAAGTGTTTGTTCCAGCAAAATATAAAACCGTGCCCTTGTTTTTTGCCAACAGATTAAGATTAGGTGGATTTAGAATATTGGAAACAGTTCACCTCATAATATTTTCTTGAATAAAACCCACACAGCACATGAAAATAGTGACTTGCTAAAAATATAATCACCATCATGTACCAGGCTATTTTCTAAAAGCATATTCAGACAACAAAAATACCAGTTGTAATACAGGTATCCAAACAAATCAAAATAGAAGTCATTTCTAAACTTTCTAAACACACCAAGTAGTCCCATCTATGCAAAGATAGGAGCAAAGATGAGAAGAGTAAAGTCGGGACAATGCAAAAGATTAGGCTCCGACTTGCACCATTCAGGAAATTAACGTATCCAAATTTCTCTATTTCTAGAAACTGGGAGAACGTAATACTTTTATGATCCTGTCGGGAAATGTATTCTCTGTATTTAGATAGATAGATAAATACTTTATTGATCCCCCATAGGATAAATTAAGGTGTCCAGCAGCAGAACACTCTTTTCTTGTTGTTGTAGTACAGTTTGTCAGGTTTGTTATACAGTCTGACAGCCGAAGGAACAAAGGATCTTTTGAAACGTTCCGTTCGGCAGCGTAGCGATAGGAGCCTGTTGCTGCGATTACTCCTCTGAGCGGCCATAGTGTCATGCAGAGGGTGTCTGGAGTTACCCAGGATGCCCTGCATTAGAGCCCTCATCCTTCTCTCCAGCACAGCTCCCACAGAGTCCACACTTCTCCCCATCACAGAGACACACTTCTTGATCAGCCTGTCAATCCGGTTACAGTCTCTCGAGGTCAGACTGCCGCCCCAACACGCAACCCCGACATTTGACCCTTCCTTCGAAGTCACTTGGGCAACCTGTCAGGAGCAGTGGTCATTTTACCTTTTGTGTGATTTGGATGGCGGGGGAAACCGGAGCGGCCGGAGGAAACCCGCCCAGGCGTAGAGAGAATCATGCCAACTCCATTTTGCAACTTTTTGGCTCTGAACTCACTTAACCATGTTTCTTTCCACCACAGCACACAGATCCAGATGACTAGACACTCATATACTGTATAGGAAGTAGAATAAGGAAGTTATCTCATGATTGTATACAACGCTGACAGAGAGTAGGCTCCATTCAATTACTTTTTTGTGACAAACACGCTTGGTTTGATTCCTGCTGGAGTAAGTGGGTAACATACACCAATGCAAAGAGACCCAATTTCCATCCATCCATCTATTTTCTTCCGCTTCATCCGTGGCCGTGTCACGGGGGCGGCAATGTAAGCAGAGACACCCAGACTTCCCTATCCTGTCTGTGAAAGGCGGTATATAAATAAAGCTTACTTACTTACTTACTATCCACACACACACTTCCTCCAGCTCGTCCAGGGGGACCCCAAGGCGTTCCCAGGCCAGCTGAGAGACATAGTCCCTCCAGCGTGTCCTGGGTCTTCCCCGGGGCCTCCTCCCGGTGGGACGTGCCCGGAACAACTCCCCAGCCCCAGGGAGGCGTCCAGGAGGCATCCTGAACAGATGCCCGAGCCACCTCAACTGAGACCCAATTTAGTATTCAAAATGTAAATAATTGATGACCAAGTTTCTTCTTCTATAAAAGAAACTAGGTTTTTGTCTGTCACGCCCTGTCCTCTAATTTTCTGTATATATAATTGTTTTTATTTGTGTTATTTCAAGGCCTAACAACTCATGACAGATGGCAATTCAAAAAAAAAAAAATGCCCCAACTACAACCACAAAAATGTCCTGCGCAATCAACAAAAATCATACAGGCATCAATCAACAAAAAAGGAAAAACTTCTAATTAGCAGTTTCTACAGAACCTCTAATGTTCTGTATCAACTATGAAAATAATTTATACTTAAAAAGGTTTATAGAATTTTCATAAATTTTAGGAAAGAACTTCCCTCTGCACCCTCTGGTCTTATTTGCAAGCACGTATCACCAGAATGATTGACGATTGAGTGGACCAATAGTCTTAATGATCCACCCGGAAGTAGAAAATCCTCCTATATACCATTAAACAAAGAAGAAAAGAAAAGTCACTCAATATACCACTTATTTTGTTTTAACGAGCAGGATTTAAAAAAGGGATCAAATGTAAATGGCACATTACCGGACACCTCTTACTTAGAAATTGCTCCTAAAACACTAATGTTAGATATTGATAATAAAAGTCTGAACATGTGACGTATATTTTCAAATTCTTTAATAAAAATTTGCGGGAGGAACGTGAGGTTGAATTCAAGAGCAGTCTTGACGTGGGAAAGTTCATGGTCTGATGGTTTGTCGATATTCCGCAGAAATGGCGACGACGCTTCCTGGATACGAGACGATGACATCACATCCTGGATACGGGGTTGATACCCAGGATGTCGAATCCTTTGGCCATGACTGAAGCCGTGGCGTCGCACAGCAGCATCCTCCACATGTTCACCTTCACCACTTCACCTGGAAAACACAGAAAACAAAACTGATTCATAATACATGTATATAAAAATGAAAGAACATTGAGAGTTAGGGTTTTGCAACATGTTGACATCAATCATTCATTTATGTACTGTAATTATCCATGAAAGCTAACATTCTGTAAAAGCTGTAATAATTATCTTCCCTTCAAGTATCAGATTGAGCAATTTGTGCGAGCTGATGCTTTGACAGCTCTCGGTACACGCCCACTGTTCTTCACTTGATGTTACCTGATTGTTCCCATGATGTTTGATTTGACAGTGTCACATAGACATTCTTTGACCAAACAGACAAAACAAATCTTTTCCTGCTATGATTATCTGTTGGGTATTTTCATGTGAACGCACTGCCCCCTAGTGGTGAGCATAGCCTGTGTATAGATGAACAATGCTAACCCACTAGCTCGATGTGCTCATCTGGCTCCGATTGACTTTACGTTGAGAAGTAGACTCCTCTAGCGCGGTAACAGTTTGCGCGTGATTTCTGGTGTTTATATTGTGATATAGTCTGTCAATCAGATATGAGCCCTGACAAGTGACCAATCGGGTTCCTTGTGTTGCTGAATTTGGATTTAGCGAGCGAGTAATTTGGTAACTCGGCGGTTACTAACATAGACTGTAAATATTTATGGACGGAGTGACGCCTATTTCCTCTGTTGAAATTCATGTGTGATCATGTATCTTTTGAAAATGAGAGGCTGTATCATTTGCGCAAGAATCTGATGGATCCAGCCTGAAACATGGCTAGAAAAACCTTGTTCACAAGTCCACAGCTAAACAAGGCTTGTCCAAAAATATATATATATACTATCCTCAGCATTGACACGCATCTGGAACATAACATTGAGCCAAGAGCCAACTTTTGGACCAGGCTGTAAAGCAGTTTTCGCGAGGAAAACAGGCGCCATAAGAATTCATGAGATTCTGTTTCCGAGTACACCACCGGCAAGGAGTCAGATTACAAGCATGTCAGCGCATGTGCTCATGGACTTTTTTGAACCAGTACCCACCCCCACTGGTTACTACCCACAAGAGTAGCATAGATTTGGCCTGTTTGAGTTAGTTCTTGTCTGCCTCTTTCGCATTAAAGCCAAGTGGTGGTGGTGAGTCTTACCGGTCTGTCTGTCCTTCTCGATGCAGTAGCAGCTGTCGTAGAACTCTGTGAAGGTCGTGGCGAGCTCGTACAGATAATCACAGAGAGTGTGGAGCAGCAGGTCGTCCGTGATCTTCTGCAGGATCTCCGGGAAGCGCAGGATGCACTTCCCCAGCTTCCACTCCTTCTCGTGGTCCAGAAGCACCTCAGTGGTCTCCGCCGCCTTCCTCAAAGCGGCCTCGTCGATGTTCGCCAGACGAGCGATGGATCTGGACACAAATATGAGACGATTAAACAATGCAAAGACTGTGAAAGTATTCTATAAAGCATTAAAACAAACCACGAATTTCAGTTCAAAAACATTCTCAAGATTGTAGCCATAAGAAAATCTCCATGATTTTCTTTCAGAATCAGTCAGGCATGTGGACAAAAATATCACTTTTAATGAAGAAATTACCAAAACTGAACTAATTTTGAGGTAAAACACAGTGAAGACTAAAATCCCATTGTATTGGAACTTCAGATTAAGAAGAAGAAGGTCCTTTATTCGTCCCACAATGGGTAAATTTCAGTTTGATGCATACACATATACACATCAAGGCAAGCGGCGAACATTACTTCCACGCTCCTTATAGGCAAAGTGGCATAAGTGTCTTGCCCAAGGACACAACGACAGCAGACATCAGTGGGAGTCAGTGGAGAAGCTCTCTGGGTGGGCTCGAACCCACGACCTTCCAGCCCAAAGGCCAATGCTCTACCAACTGAGCTCCCGGGGCGACAGTAAAGCTGGGAGGCTTTACTTTTTCCCCCATAACAAAATCCTGCCGTTTGGCGCAATGGAAAGAGTCTTGGAAAAGTAAAGAGATCATCTAAGAAAACAAATGATCTTTTGCAGACTTGTAAGTAAGAGCCCTGTGAGTCACTAATTGACGCAATGGACTGAGTCGAGGGGGGGGGGGGATTTTTCAGAAAGAAAAGTGATAAAGGATGTGACAGAGGCCAGAAACACAGGTGAAAACTAGTGATAGAACCAAACTGTTTCGGAGCCGTGGACTAGCGGCACAGATTCTAAGTTCATTCTTTTTGAGGTTTGAAAGTTAGTAACTCCAGTTAGCCCCTTTGAGAAACTGAAAACACCTACTGCTCATTAAAATATTCTGTTACATACAAAAGCAACATCCAACATTAATGAATGACAACCCTCAAAAATGGGATAAGACGATATTTTAAATACATTTTTTTGGCTGAAAAGTAACATTCTTGAGCTTCCATCCACTTTTCGCACCTGCTCTGACTTTGCTCTGACTTTCTGTGACTCACCCCCGACCAGATTGAACCGGTTAGAAGCAGTGATGAAGATGTCGGCCTCAGAGTTTGGTCAATTGTCCAAACTCTTGCCTCCTGCTCCCCCCTGCACGGCTGCTCCAGAGGGGGACGTCGAATCTTTCCTCACAAATCAATGAGATCTGGGCTCAGAGCCACTCGCCTCAGTCCGGCCAGAGCAGAGCCCACCCTGAAGTTAATCCTGCACCAGATCTGGAGCCGCGATACCACCGGGGGGACAGGACCGGAGCGTCACAAGTCCATTTAAGTTTGGAGTTTACTAACCAGCCCTCGTACGACCGGTTCCTCTCGAGATGGAGATAGGTGCGGGAGAACAAACTTTTTAAGAACTGCGTGAGGAGATTGGAGACAGTGGATTTATAAAAGGCTTTCCCTCAGCAACTTTCTTTAAAATGCATGAAAATATATCTCACTTGTTGGCACCTCCTACGCCATCTATAAATGTATTTAATCATTCTCAAAGCTTTTCTGAACAGCTATACTCGGGCATGGGGAAAACATTTCGGTTTTAATGAAAACCTTTGAGCAAAGTTTAATGAGTTTATTGAATTGACAGTAAGTCTATTGTAAGTCACAAATTATTGGAATATTTGATTCTTCAGAGATCATTCAGATTAAAATAGAAATAGTGAAGAAGTAGAAGGAGGAAAGAGAGTGATGCCCTCAGCACTGAGCAGTTAAAGGAGAGAGGTGTATGTTCAGGGAGTGTTTGGGAGTGAGCGAGTGTGTGGGTGTGCGTGTGTGTGAGTAAGTCGTCTTGTCTTACAATCGGTGGTAGTGTCTGTATCGTTGTTACTTTATCTAGTGTAGAGTAAACTTTTTGTATAATGTGATTTGTGGATTTACCCAGTATGGTGTCGTTTCTGTATTGTCTTATAGTTTGTCCTGTGTTCTCTGGGTGACGGGGGTTTGGATGAATATAAGCTGTGTGCTTCCTCCAACCCCTTTTCAATCCCTGTACGTACTTTTGTTTTCTCATCTCCTGTGAAAATTATGTTTGCAGGTTTTTGAAATAAATATTTATTTCATTCATTCATTTGTTTGTGATCTACTTTTTGAAAATACTTCACTAACTTGGAAATAACCATTTTAATTAATTCGTATATTTATATACAGTGGGCCTCAGTTTATCGCTGGGGTTTGCATTGAAAAAAATATATGCAGAGGACACAGTGCTTAGAAGCAGGACTGAGGGTTAGGGTTAGAAGACCATAGTGAGGGACCACGGTGTAATAATGGTCAAGGAATATGGTTGGAAATATTTCACAATGAGAATTTCCAAGTCATTTACTTTTGCCTGTGAAATCCATCAAACAGGTGGATCATTAGTATAAACTGTACAGAGTATAATCAACAAGATTAGAAAGGCTGAATCGCTGAATCATACTTGTATCGGACATTTGAAAAGAAAAAAGCACTGATAGAGGGGGAACAGCTTCTTGACCTCAGGACATTTGAACAGACATTTTCTGCATGAATCATTCTCAAAACAAACTATTTTGAGGCAGTGACTACTACCATCGACGCAATGTGGGTGAAGTTCTTAGCAGGACACAACAACAGTTCGGCACATCGTGAATCATTAAGAAAATTCAATCCATTTGCTCAAATATGATTACTAAGGACTTTTAGTATGTTATTGCACCTATTTGAAATGATCTGTGGTGAAAATCACAATTACAGCTTGTTCATCTCTTAACACTATTTTGACGTTAAAGACCTTATGACGGGTTTGATTTATTTAGAAATACAGTTTTAATACCATTTTATATTAGAAGAGAACTACTAAAGGTTTCAAAATCAGTTGTTGTTTTTTTTGTCTGATCCCCCCAAATCAAAATAACCCCATAGCAACGCCCTTAGAAACGAAAAAACTTCACAGCCCTTGGTGACGTCAGAACGGGTACGTTTCAACGCTGTAAGTTGTTTACAATTTGGTATTCGTTCTTTTTTCGCAGATATTCAAGATGACAAGGCCGTGTACAGCGAGTGTGAGATAACTACTAGAATGTCACATTTCGTTGTTACTGAGATAGTCCAGTGATTGTGTCGATGGACTGCCAATCCAGATACTTGGGTTCAAATCCCACCTCGGACACTTTTTCACACTCAAAACGGCAATTTATGTGTAGTGAGCAATTGTCACCTGTGGAGTGCAGTATTGTGTTGGGCATCAGTGGAGAGAAGAGAGAAAAGGCAGTCCTGTGGCATAGATCCATGGTTTTCAATGCATGGGCGTAACCCGCTATGACGTCACACACAGGTTAGAGCATAGACAACTTAAATTCATGAAAAACACGTTCTTTTTATAAAATATAGGATTTTTTTTGCCGGAATCTCTTTTAAATTGACATTGTCATGCAATTTTGATATCCACTATTTTTTTTTTTTTTAAACCCGTCATAAGGTCTTTAAATAGACCAGAGTGGATTTACCTGATGCGTGTGAAAGCGTAGAGGAGGTAGGCCGCCGTGTTCCCTCTGTCGTCCAGCATCTTGTCGAAGGAGAAAACGTAGTCGTTGATTCTGTTGTGAGATAGATCGGCGTATTTGATACAACCGAACGCCACGGCCCTCTGCGCCTTCACCAGCTCCTCGGGGGTCAGCACCTGCCGCGGGCCAATCAGAGTTTTTTTTATATGGCACCATTTGCACACAAAGAATATTTAAATAGTTCCATCCACACTAATATCAAGAACTTCTGGCACAAAAATATAACCTTTGTCCCTTTTGTCTAAAAGCTCCTGTCCCAGTCCGGTAATAATATAGTACTTTCTCAGTTGAAATTACGTTATTTATAAATCCAAAGGCTGTGTGTGCAGCCAGTTACTTTCCAATTTGGAAAAAAACTGAAAAAACGCAACTTCCTCTGGTGGTAGGATAGGGAGTTACAACAATATTATTTCAGGTTCAAAAATGTATAAATGGCAAATTAAAAATGTATAATTCTAATTTGAATGCCCAAAAATAATGCATCATATTTCTTCTTAGACAAATACAATAAAAAAGACTTAAACATTCACTTTAAAGCTGGGTTATGCAACTTTGAAACCACAAAAATTACACATTAACTAATAAAATCCATGTAACTAGTTCCACTAAAAACAAATCAGTATTTTTCTTTTCCAAGGGAGTACCAGCCCTCACTAAGCCATTCAACTCTCAATATGCAAAAGGTAAAATGTTCACTAATAAGACATGTTGTGGTCTGATTTGTTCACAACATGTTACTTAAACAAGAATTTCTGTTAAGACAAAATAAGCTTTCACCATGTTATAAACCAGGTTACATTTTTTTATCTCATCCCTGAAATAAGGGGATCAATAAAGTATCTATCTATCTATCTATCTATCTATTAGCCAAAATAAATGAATTTTGGAAAACACGGAGAGATGTGCCAAAAAATGTGCCAAGCGACTAATTGCAAAGGAACATGGATTAAGAAAATGGAAGGTGGGGTGATACTGACAGAATGAAACAAAGTTATAATTATGTTTCTGTGATCATCGAAGTCTTCCTCTGAACTCCTTAACCTGGATTCCCCCCCAACTTTTTACCTTTTGGAGAAAAAAAAGATCTACATTTTGTGGATAAAGCTGTAATTGCCGTGGGCCACGCTTCACCTCTCGGCCTTCTCTGTGTGACGCTGCGAGATCAATCTAACGCGGATAATAAATCTCATTTGGAAAAGAACGGATTAAACAGTGGCGTGAAGTTAACAGGCCTCGGCGGGAAAAGGAGATGTGGAGATAACGACTGGAGCTAAATACTGTAACTGATGAATTATGCATGCGTGCGTGAGCTCACAATGTGGTGAAGATGCAACGTGAGGAAAAGTGAAAAGGTCTCGTTCAGCAAAATATAACAAAATAAAGGTGAAAGTCTGGAAATTTAGTATAACGTTCAAACGCCCATTTACTTCTGTAATTCAGCTTACAATGTGAAACAAATGCATGTCAGACACATTATGATACAAGAGAAATATCAAACCTTATTATAATGTTGAAAATTAACTCACAGCTTGAAAAAAACCCCAAATAAAACAATAAAATTACAATATTTCGAAAATAGGCCGTGAGCAAAAATCAATAAAATAACAACAAATACTTGGCATATGTCATTTTGCAAGGTGACATATGCCAAGAAACTTAGAAAAGTCTGCATCACATATAAGTTTTACATTTTCGGTTGAATTACAGAAAGAAAATTTACTTTTAGTAGAGTCAAAAACTTATGAGTTAAAGATGAGGAGAGTCCCACAGCATTCCCACCATTAGACAAAAAAACACTAAAAATAATGAGTGGGAAAAAAGAGAAACCTTGGGTATAACTGAGCACGTCCGCTCATTATTAAGAGTTCAGTTTTCTAAAGTTTGGGAGAAATTCACTGTAGAAGTGAAGTTGGATGAAAGACAATCTGTCACAAATGCAGATTTGACAGTTTGAGGCAATTTTTCTTTTTACATTTCAATGAGTTCTTAAGTTCTATGAGGACGCATCTATTTTGGTTAAAATTTGAATTCTGTATTTACAAGTACTGCGTCTGCCAGATCCTGTGCAAAAATAAAGTGCTCCATATAGTTGTGATTTATGACATTTATGGATCCTCATCCACAGTGAATAATCTACATTTATTACACAGCTCCTCACAGCAGCAGTAAAACGCTCCATTGATTTGAATGTAATTTCAAAACGTTCTACCGGTCATTATTTTCTATAACGGACCTCTCAAAACAATAATGACCGCTGCCCATGGCAACGCACTCTCTGCTTGTCTTTCAGATGCGTGCATAACTCCGCAAGTAGTTCCGGCCACTCCGGAGCTAGCCACGCTCAAAAACGCAAATACTAATCAATCAACACACTTAAACGTTAAATGTCGGAGAATACTTATACATTCTTCACACACGTGCACGGAGATTTTCAGAATTTACTGCTCTTGTCTTCATGACAAAAATACTTATTTTCTTATTTTAAAAAAACCTTTCGGCATTCCTAAAAGTGGACTGAAGTTCATGTTGTGTGTTCTGTTGGTATAAAGCCGTGTAATAAGCGGGATGACGTATAGTACGAAGGTCATTATCGACCTGGCGAAGCGGTAATGTGTATTATGCGTGTGTGTATAGTGTTATTCTATGCATATTTGTAAAATTAATGAGTTGTATCTCAGAATAATTATTGGATTGTGTTTAAGAACTGCATGATTTTTGGTGGTTTGTCAAAATAAGTATTACATCTTTACACATTTGTATTTCAATGAATGTGTCATTTGTTGGATGACTTTGAAATCTCAGTTTTACTTGAAAATTTGAATTAATTTAAAGAATCATGTGCTCACCTTGTCTCTCTCTTTGTCTTTGAGTTTGTCCATGGACCTCTTCAGACCCTCCTCCAGCAGATCCATCAGACGCACCGTGTCCCCAGAACGGGTCTTGAACTTCTTCCTGGAAAAAAAAAAAAAAAAAAGAAAAGAACAAAACCTAAATAATTCAAGTTTGCGCTATGACCTACATTTACGGCCTTTAGGCGATTACAGAACAGGCACCACCAACGGCGTCACGTCAGGGAGAATTTAAAACTGAATCAAGTCACAACACATCTCTATTCCTACATCCATTTGATCTCAAGCCTGTGTTTAAACTTTAAACAAGATTCAGAGTCTAAATTAGGTATGACTACAGTATTTCTAGTTTTTAATACAGACCAAACATGGACAAAATGGAGGAAAAAAGAGGAAATGAATGAAATAAGTGAACTGGAGAGGAATCTGAGTACCGCCAGAAGGGATTCATTTGAATATTTGGCGTGAATCTTGTTTTGTAAAACACATTTCAATTTGTGGATTGCCCAAAATATTTATTCTCCGAGGCATTACCCATCTGCGGTAGCGTGGGAATATTTGTGTGACTAAATCCGAGAGGGACAGTGGGAAACCAAAGTAATTATGAAAATGGACAGTGTTTTTGTGTCTCCGCCTCCTCAGATATGTCCAGTGATGCTCTGTCTGTTCTGTGGTTCTCAGACTAAACAAGAGTTATTGTATTTACTTGTATATATTTATAAACATACGTTATAATTCACTTTCAACTTTGTCTATTCATTTGTGACTTTTGTAAATGTCAAGTATTGTTGTAGAAATAGTTGTAGTAGTTTATTTCTTCGGTCACATATATACATTTTATAATAATTGAAAGTGAAGAAAAAAAAAAACTGAAATGTGTATTTTTAGACTTTTAGTGCCAAATGATGCCCTGCTGTCCAATTGAACAGACTACCTCTAGTCCAGGAGCGTCAAACCGGTTCCAGAGAAAACTGGTGATGACAGAAGCGAGTCGCCGAACACAGCCCCCAATTAACACCATCCATTCACTTCCTCATTTACATTCATACCTATTGCACATGTTTTTAGTGGTAGGGGAAACCTGAGCACCCGGAGGAAACCTACGCAAACACGGGGAGAACATGCAAACTCCACTCAGAAAGGCCCTGTTCCCAGGACCCAGGACCTTCTTGCTGAGAAGTGAGAGTGCTATCCACTCAGCCACCGTGCCGCCCCAAACTATAGCTATATTTATATTTGGTCACACATAGGTCATCATGAAGACATTTTATTTATCTATTTGATAGGAACAACACACATGATTGAACATAACATTTCTACAGACAGTTGGTCATTTTTTTGGCAGTGTCTGTTGGTGGACATACATTTTGGGACGAGGATCTTTATTTTTTTCTGGGACTGATTTCTGGCTATGGAACTGCTTTAGAAGTAATGAAAGGGCCACCACCATGTTTTCACAGAGTATGCGTTGGATCATGAGCGGTTCCCTTCTCCATATTCTTTGGTAAAATTCTCTTCTGTCGGCAGGATGTTGATCCAGAACTGAAACGCATTTATACTGTAGATCTGGTTTGGTAATCTCTATTCTGATTGTTGTGTTATTGTGGCTCACCAGTATACATCTTGGGCTAAATAACTGGCTTTATCTACTCTGGTGAAGTCTTCCCTTTGAACGCTGACACTGACTGACATAATCCAACCTCCTGGAGAGTGTTCTTGATCTGTCAATTTGCTGTAAAGAGATTTTTCTTCACCAAGGGAAGAGTTCTAGTGGTCTTCCTTGCATTTTTGTTTTGAATGTTTAAAATGTGAGAAGTGTTAAGGTCTATCTGAGAAAAGTGTATGTTGTGTGGGTATTACAGCCGTAGGCCGATGGCTCTAGGTTTTATTTCTTGTGTTTTATTCTTGTGTCTGATCTGTGTTGGCGAACTCAACAGTCTCTTTAAGTCTACCGAGATAACTACTGTCGTGATTTAGGGCTATGCAAGAATAAATTGAATTGAAATGAATTGAATTAAACACATGTGATTAATAAAGCAGCTATCACCGGCTGCGGTTCATTCATAGAACAAAAACACACTATTTTTACTGTCCTTACTTCCAAACATGTATTTATGTAAATGTGACAAAATACCTATGGATAACTGGAATAAATGCAGACTGCGACATAATGCACAGTGTGTGTGTTGGTAATTACTGTTGAACAAACTGTAACAAAAAATATTTTTACTCTCACAAGCAAACGGGAAACTGGAGCGGAAAATCATACAATTAACTCATATCACCCGTAGACAAATACAATGAACTTATAAACAGCCACCAACTCTAAAACTTCCTGTTTGAATGTTGCAGTCCTATTAAAATGCATGGAGAATTAAATCAGTTTCAAGCTGTGTGCTATTCTGGACACGTCGCTTTAGAAATGACTATTCTTTGTAGTTGAATAACTATGCCACATACTTGTCCTCTCCAAGTACCACTCCAAACCCGGCGTGTTCCACTCTGGTCACTTTGGGATCGTACCAGCCAATCATCTGAGCAGCAGCGAACACCACCTGGAAGTGCCCCCCCTGCACAAACACATACAGCGCTACAGTTAGAACAAAAATCTAAACTTGAGACTCAAGTGACTGAAACATTTCCAAGAATATAAGATAGATTTAATCAATGCAAATGTGTGTGATTGAGGTTGTTGATACTCATGAGTTGCAGACTCAGTGATGGCTGGGCTATTCTGGATTCCAGGAAAGGGAACGCGGTCAGCATTCATCTCAGATCAGTAAAAGTAAATGATTATGACTAAAGGTCATTACAGAAGTATGTAATCGAGCAAAGTGGGAAGGACACAGAGTGCAGTGGTCAGAGAAAAAACTATGGGCTTATGCCACTTCACACGGTGTAATACTTTCCCAGTGTCAATGACTGCATTCATTTTCACTTAAATGCCACAATCTAACGCACACCTGGGAGCAACAGAAAAGTGATGCCCAAACCCAAAAAGGAGTTTAGATGATGAAGCAACAACGCAGACTGACCTAGAGCTGACACAGTGAGCATTAACCAGCAGAAATGCAACTTGTTACTAAGTGCACCTGCACCTGTTCAATCAGAATCAGATATATTTGTATTGCCATTGCAAGTAACAGGAAGTCTCAGACTAGGAAGTAGAAATTTTATATAAAAAAGATATGCATAACAAACAAATGTGATCAAATTCTAATATACAAATACACACAATAGATGATCTGTTAATGAATAAACACAGATGTCATTTACCTGTCCACTGTCAGTCACATAGATGATTATGTCGGCTTTCTCGTCAAAGAGTCTGTTTCTGAGCGCTGCGAGGTCTGAGGTGTCGTAGGTGTATCCTCCGTCTGATTTGACCACAGTGAGAGGCAAAGACTGTCCTGTCGCAAAAACGATCTTGCGGCCCTCGTCCATCTCCACAAAACCTGGACACGCACACTATTCAGTCTGTGGAAATCGTTTCATTCCTATTTCCTAACCAGTGGTACAGGGAGGAACACGGGGGGAACGCTAGCCACATCAGTTTTCACAATTTGTTTCTAAAAAAAATATGAAAGTGTTGACTTTAGCTTCAAAGGTATTTTGTATGACACCTCTGGAGGGAAGGCAATGTCAACAAAATGATGCTAATTTTGTATTTATTTTTTTACTTTCATTAGTCCATTCACTCAATTCAACTAAAATCAAATTACAGCACAGGTAATGTTGTAATTAGTTACTTTACCAAAATGTCACAAGGTCACAGTTAATCACCCAAAAATGAGATTAATTTCCTTATTTACTCAATGACATCAATAATAAATGGTAAATGCAGTTTGACATTGGCCGAGCGTACAAACTAGGCACTACAATGCTGCCCCCAAGAGTCGACATTCAGTCATTACACACAACATTTTCCTGACGATTAATGTAGTAGAGTAGTGAGAGGTTGGACACAGACCTCTCTCCTCAAACTCTTTGACCACCGCTGTCATCATGTCCTGGTAATAGCTCTCTCCTCTCTCCGTCAGCTTTATGTCCAGACAGTCGTACACTCTCTGAAATTCTGAACAAAATAAATGCATTTACAGTTAGTTTGACAAGTTAGACAGCCCTCCCCAAATACCACATAAAAGCTTAACTGTATTGTACAAAAAAAAGAGGATTTGTTTTGATATTTCACCATGTTCGTAGGTCTGTCCAAATAAAAGATTGCAGGGGTCTCCTTCTCCCTTCTTGTTAAAAATTACAACAAAACAAAATAATAATAATGCCATGATTTTGATAAGCCAAGTATACGAATACACATTTAGAAATAGGATAGCTGTTAATAATTCAAGTTAATAATACATTTGATGAACAGTTCACAGATTCTACTGCTAAAATCCAGCATCTTAGGCACTTTTCTGATAACAGCTTTCTTTCCACAAGCTGGTATCAGTTTGAACAAAGCACTTTCATATTCTTGCACTTCATTGAAACTTTTTTTGTTGGTCGATTTCACAGTAACAATTGTTCCCTGTACTCTTCTAGCTTGTTTTATTCCTGTTATTATCACTGTACTTCTAGCTTGTTTTATTCCTAATATCCCTGCACTTTTAGCTTGTTCTGTTCCTGTTTTTCATGGTGCACATTCGAGACTTTTGCACATGTATTCCAATGTGGTTTTACTGCAAATAATAAAATAAATATGAATCTTTCCCAACAAAAAGCTGCCTCCCAGTACCGTTGCACAAAGCAGTTTCAGACAGATGTGATTGATGAGCATCTGAAGCGGCTTATTCGTACCTTTTCTGGAGACGTCACAGATCATGTTCCAGGCCTTGATGAAATCCGGCTCTTTGCTCTGCAGTCGGACCACGCACTTATACGCTCTCTTCTTAAAGTCCTCCTCGTTGTCGAAACGCTTCTTAGACTCCTGCAGGGACCCACGCAAACGTTCGGTGAGTGACAGGCAAACCAATCAATCCGTAATGTGTAAACTGACCTTGTAGAAAGCCTGGAGGTCACTGATGGGAGGAGAAACTGTGAGGTAGTCGGGAAACGTGTCCTGGAGGTGAGCGATCAGCATCCCGAACTGTGTACCCCAGTCCCCCACATGGTTCAGCCTAGAAAACCACAAGACATGAACCAAGATGATGATAATAAGAATAATAAGAATAATACAAATGACTGATAATGAGTTTAGACTGAGGACTAGAGTACATTCAAAATGCTGCAGCTCGAGTCTTGACTAGAAGTAAGTAAGTAAGTAACCAGGAAGTATGATCACATTAGTCCAGTCCAATAGAGAATAGACTTTCAAATCAGCTCAGCTTGTGAAAAAATTCATTCCATGGCCTCACACCAAAGTACATCTGTGACATGTTAGTACCATTTGAACTGGAGGAGGCAGCATGTTCGTAGCAGCACCGCTCCTCGTTCTGTGATTGGAGGAGAGCGGGCGCCAAACCAAGTCTCTACTCAGCACTTTTTACAGCCTGAGTTCATACACAAGCTGCATCAATGAGCTCAAGTTTTCAATTAAATTACGGATTATAATACAACTTGTATGTAGTAATAAGCATTTTCCTCCTGCTGGTGCCCAGAGTCAGAACTAAACATGAGGAGGCAGCATTTCAGATTCACGCAGCTAAAATCTGGAACAGTCTTCCTGAAAATGTGAGACAGGCTTCTTCTCTGACAATGTTCAAATCCAGGTTAAAAATAGTTCTTTTTAGCTGTGCATGCAACTTAGGGATTTTATCTTCACTATTTTAATGTACAGGGCTGTTGCTTATTATTACTATTGCTAGCTTTTTAGAATAATCAATTTCATGTTTCATTTAGCTGCTACTGGACACCTGAATTTCTCCTACGGGGGACCAATAAAGTATCTATCTATGTACTGTGATTATTTATGACACAATATAAAACAAATAAACTTGCCTTTCCAAGAATAATTCACATTGTTGCAGAGCTGGGTCGTAACAATTTTAATTATTCTCAACAAGAAACAAACATAAAAGTGAACTTAGTATTATTCCTTGGTCATTCGAGATCAGCGTTCTAGTTTGTCCTATTCCATTTGAACCTGACCTGAGAACGTCGTATCCGAGGAACTCAAAGAGGCGGCACATGCTGTCGCCAATGATGGTGGAGCGCAGATGTCCCACGTGCATCTCTTTGGCGATGTTTGGAGACGAGAAATCCACCACCACCTGAACAAGACCGAGAAATTATGTTGTGTTCGTTTCCCCTTTTCACATTGTTGCGTGAGCTTTATAGTAACTGGCAGGTAAAATTCAGCACAATAAATACAAGTTGTGTTTTTTTATCATGAATCATTTTAGATCAATCCTTTAAAATGCTTATAATGTATACTTTTCCACAGGTGTCTTAGAATGACTGTAGTAGCTAAAAGCACAATACTCTGAGCTCTGCATCTCTTTGCGATAGGTCAGTAGTAGCGTTACCTTCTTCTTTTTGTGCAGCGGTGGAGGCTGGACACCGTTTACCAGCAGGTTACTGAGCAGCTGAGAAATAAACGATCGCTTGACGTGGACGTTAATGAAACCTGAGCACAAACACAGCCGTTAGAAAAGCCTGTTTCACTCTGACACACTTCAGAGCTGAGACAAAGTGTTGACCTGGTCCGGCGATGTCAGTTTTCTCAATGAGCTCGTTGTCTGGGAGATGTTTTACTATTTTTTCCGCGATTTCTCTAGGGTTCACTTTGCCGCCTTTAGCCTTCAGCATCTGAAATAAAAGAAAAGGATTATCAACAAGGCCTGACTGCAAAAACTGGGCATCTGCTACACTTGAGCTGACTTCACTTTAGACGGCTATTGCAGATAGGGACGCACCTATACAGCCTTTTCAAATCAACTACTAATTTGGATACTTAGGCTTCTGCAGATACCACATACGAACCGATACCAGTGGAGAGACTGCAGATCATGGCATGTTTCTCCCCTCAAATCTCTAAACCAAATGTGTTTTAAACTAGCTGGTTATCTACTGTCGGAGTAAAAGTTAAACCTACTATATACATGACATTCTGGGAAAATATTAACTAGTAAACAGGCTATTGAAATAGATAATCATTAAGGCCTACTCAAGATATCATAACACAGGTACTTGATCCAACAAGTAAGAAAGTAATTAATCTTTATTTATATAGCGCCTTTTACAGACCAGTGAGGAAAGGTCCAATATCTGCCAGTATTGCGTTGGCACTCTCTACAGCTATAGGCATTTTGACTAAGGTACATTTTAGCTTGTTTGACCTGGAAAGTTTTAACCATTTAAAAACATGTCTTTCTAATAATTGTTACAAACCTAATTGAGCTCGTTCGGGAAAAGGAATGTAACATCAAACCAAGATTTAAAATGCTGATTTAATTGCCTTTAATATAATGGGCAAAAGGGGTTACAAATCATATAGGGCAAATACACTCAGAATAGAATAACAAAGGGAGGTTTGAATAAGAAAAGTACTTTAGCCCCCCTCAAAATATGGCCTTGAACTGTGTTGGGGGAAACATATCCAGACAAGATATTCATGATATTAAATCATTTCAAGGCATCATCATCTGAAAATATAGTTCTGCTAAACCAGAGTTTCACCTGTGACATGGCCATGGCGCTGTTGCACTGGTAGTCTCCAAACTTGGCCTGCTGATTGGGTGTGACAGACAGAGGAGGGTTGTCCAGCTCTGGGTATGACGCTTGAATCGCCGCCCCGAATATCTGCTGCAGTCGCTGGTTGATGTTAAGCATGACTTTGGAGTCACAGGGCGGAGTAGATACTGAGGTTTGGGGGGACTCCTGCAGAGACTGGACAAAAATATAGTTTGCCTGTTACATTAGGGTTTCTATAGAACTCTATGTATAGAATTTAAGGAAGGACACTGTGACATTAGGACACACACATACAACAAAAAGGGACTTTATCTGAGATTTTACCCATTGTAAAATGGGTAAAGACACACTTTTCTGAATCCATTTGACCCGTTTCTTCATAGAGCTGTGGAAATTCTAAATTAGTTCTACCATTATTTCTGTAATTAAGCAAGTAAGTAATCTTTTTTTATAAAGCGGCTGTCACAAAATTCTTTGCAATTGGTTAATGATGTATTAACCTACAGTTCTACCTGACAAAATCACATACACAAAAAGACATAGTTCAAGAAGGAGCCACAGAGAGAACAAGAACATCTGCATCTGCATGCAACTCCCTAGACTTCCTGGAGCCAGAAATCAATCTATTTCAGTAAACAATACATCTAGCCACAATATTGTGTAATTGGAATGTTGTTCCAATTGATGATGGCCCAAGTTGCAGCAGTTATAAGTTGCATTATAACTTGCATTATAACTGTGCTTACATTATCTGCACACAAACATTAGTTCAAGTACTAAAGCGCCCAAAATGAAAACAAAGGATGTAAAATATTAGTTATTTAATTAATAATTAACTTTGCTCTTCACTACTTGTACTGCTGACCTTTTCTGTTAGTCTTCAAACTAAGTAATCTAGTATGGACTGATCAAAAACAGGAAAACGGGGGAAAATTATGAAATCTATTTTACTTATAAGCATAGACTAGTCTACGAAGGCATACATCCCCCCCATGGGCTAGTCATGTTTTTTTAATAATTTGCTATGGTTATATTTAACATATTGTGTTATTGTACCCTCCAGACGAACAAACATACACTGACAGGTCAAAATGATACTCACCCTCTTGAGGATATTAAGCCGATATTTGAGTTTGGCGTTTTCGTCTCGCAGTTCGTCTAGATGCGCTGTCTGTTCCAAATTTCTAGGATTTTTTAAACTTTCAACCTCAGCAGACAAACGTTTTATCTCCTTTTCCTAAAAAACAAAACAAAATTCAACAACTTCACACAAACACTGCTTTCCCCAGAGAGCTGAGACAACCTGACCTTGCCTAAAGAAAAGGGAGTGTCTTTGATTAGATTGTCAAAATGAAACCAAAAATAAAGGAAGTTGAATGAATCAAAGACCAAAAGGGCTGATTAGACAATAATTAACATCTGATATGATTTCATTTGATGCAATATAAAGGGTGATTAAATATAATTCACAAATAATGCCAAACAACTTTATTGATGTCATAGATATAAACTGCATTGACATTACAGATATTTTCCATAACTTATCAAACCGTAAACTGTTAAGTTTTTGCAACATTAAAATTGGTCATTATTTTTTAAACAGTGTGAGGAGAAGAGCCAAATACTAAAAGGATCTGTAAACAGTGTATTAGTTATAAATTATTGTTTTGACAGTATGACTAGCTTTTACATAGTACTCGGGGCATTTCCATTAAATAAACAAATAAAAAAACACAAGAAATCAATTATCCAGCCCTGATACTAACTTCACATGGTAGTTGCACATAAGCTACATTTACATACTATAATATTTAGGAAAAGTGCTCTATTTGTGTTTTTGTAGTGACGTCCTCTCTCATAGTCACGCCGGGTGATAGCAGCTGTCAGCGGGGTTACCTGCTCCTCTAGGCGGCTGTGGTACTCGGTCAGCGGGTCTCCCATGTCTCTAGTCTCCGGGACAAGGCTCTGGTGGTCTGGGGAAGATTATGAATGATGTACGGAGACGGTGGAGCAGAAACTCGTGGCTGATGAAACAAACTCCGGCGAGTAAAGGAAGAACTTTGATACACTTCCGGTACAGCTACGTCATCACAGCAGCATTTTGAGCGGCGCCATGGGAGTTGTAGTTTTTTTGTGTCATGCTTTTTATTCCTTTAGGACACAGTCTATACAGCGACCTGGCTTCCACATTTCTCTATATTTGTCCTACATATTTGAAGCCCCGAGCCCCACGAACTAGCAAGGGAACGGGGCCATGTGAAAAGACAAGACCGAAGTGAACTGTATGGAGAACCAAAACTGCCAGAATAATAAATACATCAAAACATGAATTTTCAATGAATTGTCATGTTTGTTTGAGAAATAGATTTAATTTGCAGATTAAATCAATTTTTAAATAAACATAACATTGTCACTTTTGCTCTGATTTTTGGAAGTTAGTATTGTTTCCAGGTGTCGGGACCATAGACTGTATGTCGGGACCAACTTTAATATTTACATTGTATGGGACCAACTCATTTATTTCCCCCCTATTAACCATTACAAAGTGATCATAAACCAATTTCACTCAATTTCTATTTGAAATTAAAGGAGCACATTTTCTTTTATTGTATTTTAACCATGGACTAAATTTTAAATCACACTTTTCAGACATCTCTGGAGATCATCAAGTGCAGTGGTCGTGGAGCAATAATAACCACTGCACTTGATAACTGGACATCAAAACATTGTCTTAGATGTTTTCACTTATACATTGATGGGCTCCACTTTGAGTAGTACAAGCTCAGTTATTAAACCTCCTACCCTACCCAGCTCGACTTAAATAAAAACAGAAATAGATGGGTTAGTTCCACTACAAAGTTCATTGTCTCAAAAAAACAAAGCCACACAATAATTAAGAAGAGAATTTGTTTATTCGTTGTGAAACTATAAAACATATGTCTGTTTATATTCTGTGCTGGTGAAATATTTACAACTCTGATCGACAGAACAACATCGGAGAAAATAATTCACAGCTTTTGGGAGGACTCTCAAAATAAAAGGGAAAAAACATTAAGGAAACGGACACCCAAATCACAAAGTGCAATAAATACATGTTTCCTGTTTGACCTCCTCCAGTTTCTCAGATTAGAAAAATAAACAGAAGATGCACTTTATAACAAAACCTAAACAGTGAACAAAATAATGATTTGAGACCAACAGCATTAGCTATTTGTGAAGATTTCGCAGCTACATTCCTTCATTTAGATCTGACTGGACTGATACGGTAGTTTTAACTTTACATAGAATTACATTGTCGCAAGTCAAAAGCAGAACCATCAACATGTCTCTGAGAAAATGTTTAAGTTGTATAGTTTACTTTCAGCTTCGGTGGATATAGATGCACTGAAATGAGGAAAGAAAACTTGAAAAGGCACAACCGATTACAAGGCGGGTAATGGCGTGGACACAACATCAATAATGTACCGGTAAGTGTAAAAACTTAAAAAGGACACAAGCTGGTTTGTCCCATGTTTTGAAGTTTTCATTAGATATTTTTTTTCAATGAGTACAAACAATAACGCATAATTACAACAACCAAAAAAACAGAAAGATACCAAGGAAAATAAAAAATGCACAAAGCTAACATGTCGTGATGATTTAAGAATATGGATGATTTGTTGGGTTTCTGGCACTTTTAAAAGTGGTAAAAGTTTCGTATGGAATTTCAAATTGGATCACATGTATTTTTATGAACAGTGCTTACAATTATTATTTTTATCAACAATCTGTACTGGCCTCAAAAATGAAAATTGCTTTACTAGTGCGAATGTTTGGGGGTGCCCAAACACTGGCTGGGAAGTCATGTCAACCAGAATGTTGTGTTTGTATGAAATTGATGGTCATTAAAAAACAAAAACAAAACTATACTTTGCATTAATAATCTGTGGATTTAATAAAACCATTTCTTAAAACTTCTATTTCATTCCAACTTGAACATATTTGTAAAGTGATTGTAATATACTTTGTTTAAAAAATATTGTTTTGTACAGTTCACAATAGTCATCTATATACCGGTAGTAGATAAACCTGTGCATTCATTTCTCCAGTCATGAAAGACATAACATGAAAACCAGTCATTGAAGGGTTTTTCTTTTATAAAACTTAATAAAGACATGACAAGTGAAAGAGCCAAGGTCTTCGCTGAGGAGAGGGTTACCGTGGAAACAGCCAAGTCGTGACTGAAATCAGTACCGTATGTAAAACTTCTCATGAATACTTTCTGAAATAACACTATATAGTTTAATCCTGTCCAGTTAAACAAAAGCAGGAGAGTGTAAAATGTCACAAACATCTATTGTATTTACTAAGATGCAAAGTAAGATGAACAAATATATGCTTCACTGATAGAAAAGTAATTCGGCTTTGATATTAATTGTGAGGTACTTACATAGAAACCAGGGCAACAATTATTCTCTCTTTGTAAAAAAAACAAACTCCCCCAGTTGTCTGACACATATCCAGTTTGAACTTTGTTGTTGCATTACTGTCTTAAACAAAATGATTACATGATTCCAGTTGTGCAAAGTGCAGCTCCTTACATGAACTTAGTGCTTTTATTTCTACATTCTGGGCTGAAAAACACGTTTATAACAGTGAAAACCTGGTAGTGAATGGTGATTCTCCAATTATTCAGGAGAAAGAGAAAATAAAATTGGGTTGTGTGCTTAGTTTTAGTGTTATAACCTCTAAGTGTCAAATCAAAGCCCCTTGTCTCGTGTGCAACTTCATTACTTTCTTTTTTTTTTTACCTTTATTTATCCAGGATAGTTCCACAGAGATTAAACTGGTTACAGAGGGGAGGAGCCTATTGCTGTCATGACATGGGGAACCTCTGCAGACACAAGGAGAACATGCAAACTACACAAAGGGACTTCTTAGGAGAAAATCCCCTCTAATTTTAGATTTGTTATGTTCTTCTGTTTAAAATATATGCAAGAATCGGACACATCATATTATATATATATATAAAAAAACATTGTATCCACGAGTTTCAGTCTTTTGTCACAGTATATGCACCATCTTCAGGACTATAAAATAAAAATAATCAATTCAAATTACTATGACAACCATCATAATTTCACATTTTCAAACTCATGAATACAATGTTAGTGTAGCTTACAGAAATTCATTTTTGGGTCAAACATCATTCGGTATTTGTGCTGTCGTCTCTCGAGATAAGAGTTGTGTTTTAGTGATATGTCCGATTCAATATCTTTGATCTTTTTGTTTTTGTTTACTGTGCACCAAAAAATGAATTCATCCTTCAAACAACTCAACAGTGAGTGGATTTGCGCTGGAATGATTCAGAAGTCTAAAAGCGCATATCGACAGTGTGTTAGTAACAGTGACGCCGCTAAGACGAGAGAGAATCGTAAGAGGGGACAGGAGAGAAGCTAACAGTGCTAACGATAAAAATTATAATGATTCCTGTACAACTTCATAACACCGCCAAGTTCGCAGCAGCAGCAGCAGCAGCAGCAGATCCAGAGCAGAAATACTTTGAAATGTGTCATTCAAACGTCGTCCGCAGGAAGATCTGGGATTGTGGATTTAGCTCGAGTGAAGAAAGCCATCTTCTCCCTGAAGACAAGAGCAAATGTCAGACCGGTCGACCATTGTGCGATTAATAACTATGGAGAACATGATCAAGTCATTTATATCCGATTTGCATCCCAAAATTATCTTGAACATTTATGGTGGCATATCATGTTTTACAATTTGTGGATTATGAAAATATGTTGAGTTTTACCGATTCACTATTTTACACTTTTTTTTTTTTCATTTTTTGTGCTTGTGAAGCACTTCAGGCAGCTGGTGTTGTTGTAAATGTGCTATACAAATAAAGCTGACATTGGAAATATGTTACAAAAACAAGGCAATCTAGTCCAGACGATCTTTTGCTATTATGCTGTATTTTAATATCATACATAGTTGATGTTGCATCCCTACTTTATTCCATAAAGAACAATGCATCATACTTTTTACCCATACACAGCAGTGGGAAACTACTGCTCTGGAACACGCCGATGGAAGCGAGGCTAATAATCTGTGTTGTTGGCCCCTCTGACCACCACCAATCATTAAGTGACATAATAATACTTTACAGTTGCCCCACTCTAGCACCTGGTGTGACCAGAGGTCTCAGATCACAGCACTAAGTGTATTCTGGTACTTATTGCACAAGCACTTTGGGACTGTGCAATAATACGAAATATTCTTGTGTTGAAATTGTACAGACAACCCGATTGTTCTAATGTTGTGAGTGTCTTGTTTGTGTCCAACAGCACTGTGAGACAAATTTCCCTTTGGGCACAATAAAGGTGAATCTTGAATCTTGTACTAACCAGGTGATGGCACCAGGCTGCTACTACAGAACAGATCATCTTTAATACATAATTCTTCCACTGAATCCACGTCTTCCTTTGTATTTTATAGAGCACTTGTCTCACCTGAAGGTGTGCACCTCTGGGACCTCTTTCCGGCTCTGGACTCTCATCTTGTTGACATCTTTGGCTGCTGCCTTCATCATCTTCCCCACTCTCTGCTCGTGCAGCTGCTCCTCACGAGTCTTAAACAGGAACAAATGCATGTATTAGTCTCTTTAGAACCCTTTACGTAAAAGCTGTTTTAATTATTTGTATCCTTTTACTTGCTCGCTGTTTAATTGCGTTGCTTTGACAGTATTATTTATTTGGTTAAATAATTGGTTACAAATTATGACAGAACAACTGTCCAGCAACATAGAAGTATGTGACAAAGAAATACATTTAATCCAATTATTATGTGCTCAGGTATTAGCTTAGACCTGATTAAGATTTGAGTTTTTAATGATCCTGGTGAAGCACTATGTTTACATTCTTATTTAACCATGCTTTACTCCCATTCTGCTTCCACTGCATGAAACCACAGCTAAGTCTTAACAATGTTGCATTCTTGGGTCAGTGTTGTACCTGTTTCTCAGCCTGTTGCAGCAGCAGTCTGAAGCGCTCGTCCTCCCTCACCCACAGGGGGAGCTCTTTCTGTCCCTCCAGTCGCGCCTTCTCCAGCTGGCTCTTCAGTTCCCTCAGGACGTGCAGCTCCTGGGTCAGACGGGCCTGTCGCGTCCTTGTCACCTGCAGGTCCAGCTCAAGGTCTAAAGAGGTGCGGAGGAGACCGTCCAGAGGCTTCACCACCACTGAGGGCTGCGGAAACAGATTCAGGAAGAGTTATAACTTCAGACCTGCTGTGCTAATAACTGAACAAAAAATGTACATATAGACACTTATGGAGGAAGGAAATATTTTATATGCAGTCTTCTTCCTCAGCTCTACCGTTGCTAGATACTCTACGCTGTCTGTTAGAAGAGAGCAACATTGTATAACATTAATTTATGAAAGACTTGAAAAACGTATTGATTGGAACTCTGGCTTTCTGAACACCATCACAGGATTATAAGGAGACACTATTTTGAACCATCACCAAATTGTGCTCCTCGCTTTTTGAATAATTTGTTATTGGGTTGTATTGATATAATGTTTAACTTTTAGAAATGGACTTTCAGTTTCAGTGATTTGATATATTGGGAAAAGAAGAGTTTGGAACCCTAACTTCTCTGAGCAAATATAGATAAAGATGTAAATAAAAATAATAATAATAGATGTAAATAAAACCAATTTTGTAAGATTGTCAACTCTTGGTCTGTATTTGATCACATTATTTTAATAGGAAATTTTCTAAATAGAAACAAAATATTCTTTTGCACCTTCTTCATTCTCATGCTGCGTCGCTCTGAGGCGTTTCTCACAAAAGGAGATTTCTTCGACAGAGTGGACGAGTCACTGTCACTGCGGTTTATCTGAAAAGCAAAGATTGTTAGAACTCACACATTTTTAGATTTAAGTCAAATAACATAAATAAATAATATTGGTTTACCCTGCAGATGTACTGGCTCTGGGGTCCAGGGGAGAAGGTTTTGGAGCGGATGATAGTGTTTCCCCTTAGGAAGCTCATTTGCCCGCTCTGAGTGTGAGTCTGGGGCAGGTCAGGACGCCGCTCTTTGGGCCGGACCGCAGGACGAGAGAATAGACCATCCACGCTGGTTTCTTTATTAACCTGTAGCAAACGGTTAAGACACGTGTAAGTAATGAAAATTATTCTGAAAGTTGCTTGTGTAAAATATAGGAGGTGAAAGTGTTTTTGCATTTGCACGTCTGCTATATGCAGCCGGCTCACGGCTCTGGCCTCTCATCCCCCTGTGGTTAAACATCAGTCTAACATGTATGAGCTCAAACCCGCCACAGGTCCCAAAGTACATTTTTCCTCATTTTCAGTGGAAAAATGAGATAACCAAAATAGCGCTCATTGTGTAAGCTCGACCAGACATTTAGCCGAACAAAAGAAATGCTGGAGTGACTAAAGACGTGACTAGTCCATCTAACTAGGAATTAGGGTTACACTACATGCAAAAAACGAAATCACAAGAAAGCAATGTAGCCGTCAAGAAAAGAGTCTTGTAGAAGGGAAATGTTGTGAACGAATCAGAACCACACAAAAATCACACCATTCATATTTGAAAACAATATTACAAATACACATATAAATATACATACACACTATTGATTGCTAAGAGGTAATTGGCTAAAGAAGAGTGGTCCTCTCTTTTTGATTTTCTGTCTAAAAAGGAGGCTATGGAAATGAGAAATATACATGCACTAATGCATACATGCATCTGTTTTAGAGCAAGGAGCAAGTAAGATGTACTTTAATAGATCATATTGCTGTGTTTTGAGAGTTAGGCTCCCCAACATTGAACATTATCAGCCAATTTGAACCACGCCTTTTCACGTTTTAATAACAATAACTTTGACAAAACAACCAACAGCTTGACTAGATTCTGACTATATGAGGTTGTGTCCACTTATTACCTTCTCAGTGATGCTGGTGGGAGGTCTGGGCGCAGGTCGAGCGGCGGGTTTCTCTGCTTCAATCTCAGATAACGGACCGTCCTCAGGGTAAAACTCTTCCTCACCGCCTTCATCCTCATCCTCAAAAATGTCTTCCCCCAAAGTATCATCAGGCCTGGACAATTGCACAGGTAAACATGAATGATCCAAACGGGTTAGGTTTTACTTTTTCAGCAATCGTATATTTTATAGTCTAATTGAGTCAATAATAATAAATCTACACTATAGGTATATTTTGATGTACATATATTCAGAGCTGTGAACCAGTCCATCAGCATTCTGTGTGTACTCAAATATTGACTTTACTCATTCCCAGAAAAGGACACAGTGTTCAGGACATGTTTGCCCAAAAATAATCACAAAAGAACCAAAGACACACATTATGCTGTTTAAATTATGTTGTTTGCAGACATTAAATGTCTTGTCATGTTTTAAAAAGTTTTGGTGGGAAGATTGCAACAGGATTAAACATTAAGTTATAAAACATCAAAGCAGCCATTCACAATGAGGTCTTACTCTAATTATGCATAAAACAAGTTAATCTTGAACATCTAAAAGCTTATTTATATTTATTGGAATTTTGAGTGAATTTTGAGTTTCCATCTTGTAAAGAGCATAACATAACAGCTTAACGAGTTTAACATAATAACTAACGCATCATAAAAAAAACTAACCATTCCTCCTCCTTTGGAGCTTTTCTTCGTTCCATTGATGCATGGCTCTGAAAAGAAAGACAAAAAATGATATAAAAATAACTATAAGTTGTGCATGTATTTCTAAATAGACTTCACAGGGACTTTGTATCTACGGCCCTTTTGTGGTTGCGCTAAATGCGCTATAATAAAATGTATGCTGTTATAATGGGCCTGTGTTAACATTATTATTAACAAACTTAACTGACAGTCAAACTAAATCCAAACCTTTACCTGATCTACATCGGTTGTGGCGTCCGCTTTGTCTTTTGCGTTCAGTTCAAAAGAGTGACTCAGGAGGTTGTACCACTTAGTGGTTCTCTCCTCTGAACTGCCGAGATCTGCCAAACTGATCTGAGCTGCAGCCTGCAGAGAGGAGACAAGACTCAAGTCATTACTGAAACGATTAACCAAGAAATACATGTACTAAATCTATAAACTTCTGTGAGATCTGATATCACTAAGTCATGTTTGACACTGGCACAGAAGAGGTGTTATACCGTAATCAGAACCTAATTTTAAACTGAATAACAGTGGAATTGGAATGCCAAAATATCAAGATAATGGGCATGGATGGAGGTAGACAAGCTTTCAAGGTTAGTGAATTTATCAACTAAACTAAATATATTAGTTTTGGCTTTAATTTTAGTCAATACAAATACACACACACACACACATTACTCCATTTAATTTTAAATTGCTCTCATGTTTCTCCCGTTTGCATAATAAAAAGAATGTTGTATTTTGTATGGGACAATAGGAGGATCTTTGTTTATATCCGCGTGCGCATGCGCCACTCACTGAGTGGCAAAAAGACAGAGCGGCACATACTGAAGCATGGATGCAACGAGTACTTTTAAAAGACTCAGTGGGCGAAATGCACTATATTTAAGCACTTTAACGCAAGAAGATCAAAGGAGGTATAAAGATGAGCTAAAAATAAGCATATGAGACCGAACTGAACAAATTCAAAGCCCGTATGAGACCTGGGATGACGAGCCTTCTCAGACTGGAGTCAACCAAGACCAAGGAGATGATCATCAACTTTCACAGGAGCCCTTCCCATTGACCGGTCACAGTAAATGGACAGCAAATCGAAGTGGTTCACTCCTATAAATATAGGCCTGAGCTGAGCTGTCCACCTAGACCACAGACTGGACAGCTCAGCTCAGGCCAAAGCCATCTACAAGAAAGGTCAGAGCAGACTTTTCTTTCTGAGTAGACTGAGGTTCTTTGATGTGAGCAGTCAAATGTTGCACATGTTTTACCAGTCTGTGGTAGCTAGTGCCGTGTTCTTTGGGGTTGCATGTAGGGGCGGCAGTCTATTCAGGAGGTTCACAATATGTTAAAGTTTCGTTTTGTTTTATTCAGCAGATTAGCTCACTCAATGGGTGCTTTTATGCATTATAAACAACACATTTTCTATTATTCTTTATTTGTAATTGACGTTATATTTACCAAAACTTTCTCGCGTCCGTTTGTGCTGGTGTGGCAGACATCCACTCGTAGTGTTTTCTGCCGCAGTGCATTTTGGGAGATCTGCATCCCGAACACTTCGTTAAAGTCGGTGAGTTCTTGAGGCAAAGCAGCCCGAGTTCTGAACAGACAGCGACTGGTCCCAACACAGGGCAGCACCGCCATACGGACGTAACTGCAACAACAAAATACACACTATAACTTACTTACTTTATTGACCCCACAAAGGCGTGTCTCCTACTGTGTTATGATGGAAAATACAAGATTGGTGAAAATGTTACACCCTGAATAATTTATGGAGTATTTAAACATGTCGAGGTCAATTCAAACTTCATGGAAAAGTTGGGGATCAGTTTTAAAAGTTACGCAGAACTCATGGGAAACAAATGTCTTGACGCAGTAATCAATTTAAACACAAATAGTACAATGGTTATTAAAAGCAAATAACTAGGTTGTATCTCTACAGAACAAATATATTTAAATATGTATACATTTTTTCTTCTAGATAGTTCTTACATGTTGTGGTCGTGGGGCAGACAGAGGGCACTGCAGTTGGATAGCTGGGTCACTAACACAGTGAATCTCTGGTCTCTGGACTCAAACTTCAGACCGATCTGGACCTGAGGGCAGCCCACCGAGAGGCGCTCCTCCAGCTCTGATGGGACCCCCGACCTGAGAACAAATAATAATGTTGAAAATTATTTTGTTGGATTAAAAGTTTATTTCTAACCATCTGACACAGCTTGTTAGAATGAGACCGTACATATTGAGGAACACTGTTTTCATCCCAAATCCATCTGTACATGTTTTTAGTGGTATGGGAGCAAGGAAGCTAACACAAACATGGGGAGAACATCTATAAACCTAGTAAATGGTAAACTTCTTTATATACAGACTGTGTTTTGTGTGAAATCTTAACACTTAAAGAGGGCATTCATCACAATAAACAATTAGGAACTGTGTAAATGTCATGTTTTCAAGAATTTCTGATGTTAAAAAGTATTAGGATGACCATGTCCTCTGGTGTCTTCACTTCAGCTTCATCTGAATATAATATCTGTGCTCTAAAAAACATTGACTTATCGGTTACAGCCTTAATTGTGGCCCATAACGATTAGTATCAACCTTCCCAGTTTTGCCTTTGTAAACATCCTGAACAGCAGCAGAACTTGTGTGTCTTGATGAAACAGTTTCACTGGCGCTGGACGCTCGTACCTACGATGGGCGGGTTCATAAACGCCGCTGTCTCCAGCCACAGACTCGTCCGACACGGCTGACGTCACTCCGCTCTTCTTCTGCCCGGAAACCGTCAGCGCAGACGCCACTTCTGAACAAACACAATTATCAACGGTAACATTTCTGCAAAACCGAGGATTAAAGATATGATTTTTTTTATAATGATATAGAAAATATATGTATGTACAATTAAAAGAATAATGCAATATGGTCAGGATCAGCAAAACACTCCCACCCAGTGGACAAAGTAGGATTTTTTAATCTGCTTTTATAAGAAAAAATATACATTTGTACATTTTAATTAAATATGCAAACCTAAAGACTATTATGAGTGGAGAAATTCCCCAAACTAAATAGGAGAAAAACAGTTTGACAGAAAGTAAGTCATAAAAGCAGTTCATACAGACTGTGAAGACAAACACTTTGACTCGTATGTACTGTAGCTGTTCTCAGGGCTGGTCTGTCCTTTATACTGCTCCATAGACTGTACAGAGGCAGCAGCAGCCGTTACTCTCGGCCTTGCTCCCACTGGGCATACAAGCCGCTTTGGCCGAGCAATTGAGCAGAACTGGCAGGTAAGGCGTTAGTGGAGCTTAAAACAAGTCTTGGCCGCAAAATATTTAAAAGAAGAATTGAAAACGTAAGTAAGCCATCTTTATCTATATAGTGTATTTCGGGCCAAGCACACAAAGCTCTACAATTTCGGTGTACCAATCATTTTCCATTCACTCCAGTCGAAACACTGATGACAGGAGTGAGATGTCTGGCACATCGAAGCCCCTGACCATCACAATCCATTCAGTTAGAAAAGGTTTCCCTTCTCATTTACCCAATACTCTTTATTCTCTTTGTTAATATTTTCCCTTTAATCTGAGATATGGATTTGCTGTGTTGAAATGTTTTGGATAGTGCTGAAATGTTGTCTTTTTATAGGACACAATATGTTGAGATTCCGTCAAAGCAACACCAACATAAACTACCACCAACGTGATTTGACAATTAGCATCCTAATTCTATCCAACAGATGACTCACAGTTTAATTTACGCGAAAGAATGTGTGACATTGTCATCTGATTCATTTTATTGCCTGACCTAATAACTTTACCATAAGTCACTTTTATAGCGGGGAAGTAGATTGCTTTGAGATTAAGAGACCAGTGGCTGTAATCACAAGCAGCTGAAATTAAACTAGTGTTATCCAGGTTCATTATCTGTTATTCATACAATATAAATTATAGAGCTCGCCCACACACTGATTAAAACATAATGCTTCAGACCAGAGGTAGCAGTTTTGTAATAAGATCAAGAGCTATTTTTAAAACATCTGCACTGGGGGAAAAACTACAAGCTGAACAACATGGCATAAAAGGCTCATTGAAGTGGGGTAACCTAACTTCCAAACCACAAAAAATGAACAGTACAATAAAATAAATCCCTCGCTTTGCCACTGATCTGCAGACTCCAACTCCTCACTCCCACTGCCAAATCCATGCACCCTTATCTTGGGGGATCGAGCATTTGCAATCTGTGCTCCCACCTTCCGGAACTCTCCCCCACACCACCCCAAAAACTCGGACTATTATTATTATTATTATTATTTTTCTTTCATATTTAATTAGATTGTATGTATGAATGAATGTGAATGTTTCCTTCCTTTGATAAAACGCAATATAAAACCAATGCATTATTATGATTTTCTTTGTATTTTTCAGACAGACGAGAAGAAACTAGAGGACCACCCTCATTCAACTCTCAGCTCAAAAGGTCAAATAGTGACTCTTGTGTCACTGTCCATAAAGTATGCAAAAGATAACGTTTTCTAAATAAAATGAAAACAGCAGGTCTGATTTGTTCACAAAATGACTCTTTCGAGTTAAGCAATTGGCCCGCTACAGTGGTCAACATTGCGATATTACTCAATCAAAATGCAGGAGTTAAGAGTCTTGTGAGGTCTAACTAAAAAGACAGTGGTGAGAATCCAGGACACTCAACATCCAACAACATTTATAGACATTGGTCATCTGCCTCTTGTGGACCAATGTGTTTCTGTTCTATTTCTTGAGTTTCAACTGTTTGATTCTCTGATCTGTGTTGGAGAATTCAACGGTTGCGTAAAGTCCTCCAAGATGACAACTTTTGTGATTATAAAAGAATAAATTGAAATGAATTGAATATGCACGTTGTAACGGCAATGTTTTAAAAGTTGTAGCTGCTCTAATAATCCCTCATCTCTTCTTCTGCCAGGTTGTGTTTTGTTCTTTCCCCTCACTGTAAGAGAATCTGTGTGCTCTCTCGCAGCAAATGGCAAAGTGTATGCACGAAAAGAAACACATGTATTGTTTAATTGTATTGCGTCCCCCATCTTTAATCCAGTTTAAATCCAACGTTACCTTTATCTTCTTCGTTCAACACCCCTCTGGGCTCTTGTTTGTATTCTGAAGCCCCGTCCTGCTCCTCTCGCCTCTTCTCCGTTCCCAAACTCATCTCCAGCTCCTGCAGCCTCTTGTGCAGCTCCAAGTCCAGTGCCGCTTTCTCCGCTTGTCCCGAGAAAGCTTCGCCGGACAAAAACCCTGCCTCTGTGACCAGCGGCGAACACGGAGGCGAGAGCGACGAAAGGGAAGACCGCGGGGAGAGCGAGGTCATGGATTTTGGCGTTTCTGAGAGTTTTTGAATGCGGTTCAAAGCAGAGTTTTCGGTTTTGTCCAGGGCTTTTTCCCCGTCCTGCACCGCTGAAGTCGTGACAACCTCGTGTTCGTGGATGGTGGGGATGGAGCTGGAGGGTCTGTAGCCCGACTGGCCGCCCTCTTGGAGCAGTAAGTCTAGTTTGTTTTGGAAGTCGGGGTCTTGGAGTTCAGGCTGGTCCAGGTATAGGTCTGTGTAGCTGAGCGAGGAAGTGGAGCCCAGGCTGGATGTTGTGGCCAGGGATCCGCGTGACGACGTGAGCGAGCCGAGACTGCTGCCGGATGAGCAAGAGAGCGTGCTCGCTGAGAGACTGTAGAGACAGCGAAATGGAGAGAGTTAGATTTACTGTATGGCGGAAACAGCCCTGAAATCGAGATAGATTTTTGCAACAAGAGTGTGTTTCTGCATCATACTAGCCTGTAGTAGTTACTTACTAAAATCCAAATATCTTTCAAAACGATTAAAAACAATTTAAAAACTAGTATCACAGACTACACTGCAAAAACTTAATATAAAAAACACTATAATATTTGAGGTAATAATTGCTTGAATTGAGTGGGTTATATCTTAATTTAAATACATTCTTAAATCTGCCAATGGGACAAAGCCATTTTGTCTTATGGTCAAGAACTGTTGCATTATTTTCTCATCCCAAGGAAGACTTTTCATGTACATTTTTTAAACAACATAATTTTGCTTATACCATTTTGCAGTGAAGGCACAACTTGTGTGTTTTAGAATGGCTAATGTAAAAATATATATTAAATAATGTTTTAACCAAGAGATGGTTTGTCATTTCAGAAAACATAAAGTTACTCCCTCTTTTCTTTTTTTGAGTGCCATTTTTGTCTAGTAAAATGTTGAACTCAACCATTTCCACATCTTGCCTGAAAGTTACATCACCTCATCTCAGCTTTCAAACATTTAGGGAGGATGTTTGAAAAGGGCCCACAGTGACCTCAAATGAGATAAGTGAAAGAAAATGACTGAGATATTCAAAGGTTAAATACTTGAACTGAAATCCGTCAATCTTCCACATTCAGAGTGTCCACAACTGAAGGAAGAACTGGTTTTGTTTCCATTTAAAGATGCAGGAGATAATTCAACTGAAACTCAATGATTCAAGAGTATACGTATCAAGAACCTTAAATTTGTGTGTATAGGTGCGTATACGGCTCAGTCTGTCCAAAGGAAATACAGACATGTGATTTATGAGTTTTATGGTAAATCCACTGCATATGCTTTCATTTTCCGTCTTACAATTCTCAAAATATTTTCAGGGCTTCACACCATTTTAGTCACTTAAAGGTACTGGTATATAGGAGGATTTTGCCAAATTTCAGGAAAGAACCACCCTCTCCACTTTTTGAAAAAACTATCTAGTATTGTTTGACGAGCCCGTATCACCAGGAGGACCAATAGCCTTGATGATCCACCCGGAACTAGAAAATCCTCCTATATACAGTGCCTTGCGAAAGTGTTTGGCCCCCTTGAACCTTTCAACATTTCGCCACATTTCAGGCTTCAAACATAAAGATATAAAAATTTTATTTTTTGTCATGAATCAACAACAAGTGGGACACAATCGTGAAGTTGAACGAAATTTATTGGATAATTTAAACTTTTTTAACAATCTTTGAATGATCCAATGTTGTCCTAAATGACTGATGATGATAAATAGAATGCACCTGTGTATAATCAAGTCTCCGTATAAATGCACCTGCCCTTTGATAGTCTCAGGGTTCTGTTTAAAGCGCAGAGAGAACCATGAAGACAAAGGAACACACCAGGCAGGTCCGAGATACTGTTGTGGAGAAGTTTAAAGCCGGATTTGGATACAAAAAGATTTCCCAAGCTTTAAACATCTCAGGGAGCACTGTGCTAGCACTTGTATTGAAATGAAAGGAGTATCAGACCACTGCAAATCTACCAAGACCCGGCCGTCCCTCCAAACTTTCATCTCAAACAAGGAGAAGACTGATCAGAGATGCAGCCAAGAGGCCCATGATCACTCTGGATGAACTGCAGATAACTACAGCTGGGGTGGGAGAGTCTGTCCATAGGACAACAATCAGTCGTGCACTGCACAAATCTGGCCTTTATGGAAGAGTGGCAAGAAGAAAGCCATTTCCCAAAGATATCCATAAAAAGTCTCGTTTAAAGTTTGTCACAAGCCACCTGGGAGACACACCAAACATGTGGAAGAAGGTGCTCTGGTCAGATGAAACCAAAATCAAACTTGTTGGCCACAATGCAAAACGATATGTTTGGCGTAAAAGCAACACAGCTCATCACCCTGAACACACTGTCAAACATGGTGGTGGCAGCATCATGGTTTGGGCCTGCTTTTCTTCAGCAGGGACAGGGAAGATGGCTAAAATTGATGGGAAGATGGATGGAGCCAAATACAGGAGCATTCTGGAAGAAAACCTGTTGGAGTCTGCAAAAGACCTGAGACTGGGACGGAGATTTATCTTCCAACAGGACAATGATCCAAAACATAAAGCCAAATCTACAATGGAATGGTTCACAAATAGACGTATCCAGGTGTTAGAATGGCCAAGTCAAAGTCCAGACCTGAATCCAATCGAGAATCTGTGGAAAGAGCTGAAGACTGCTGTTCACAAACGCTCTCCATCCAACCTCACTGAGCTCAAGCTGTTTTGCAAGGAAGAATGGGCAAGAATTCCAGTCTCTCGATGTGCAACACTGATAGAGACATACCCCAAGCGACTTGCAGCTGTAATTGCAGCAAAAGGTGGCGCTACAAAGTATTAGCGCAAGGGGCCGAATAATATTGCACGCCCCACTTCAGTTTTTTATTTGTTTAAAAAGTTTAAATTATCCAATAAATTTCTTTCCACTTTACGATTGTGTCCCACTTGTTGTTGATTCTTGATAAAACATTTAATTTTTATATCTTTATGTTTGAAGCCTGAAATGTTGAAAGGTTCAATGGGGGCCAAATACTTTCGCCAGGCACTGTATCTAAAAAGGGTACCACTGCATTGATGGATTCTTTCACCTTTTGAGCTGAGAGTGCAGAGACGAGGCGAGTCGAACCATCTCCTCCAACTCATGGACAAGTTTGTTCCTCTTACAGTGAAGTCGCAACCTGCAAGAAGAAAACAATTATTTACAAGACGCATTGTGCCGAGACTTGTTGTAGTTCACAATTAGTAAATACAATAACATAACAAATATTTAGGATTATGGGTTCACTGGTTATGTTTTGTTATAGTTGATTCTTTCACTCTCGATTTTCCAACATTTAACACAACTTTTCCTCTATTTTAGATTGAGTTTTTTGTATATTATTGATAGTTTATTTTGATCTATATTTTTTCTACAATTAGAATTCTCCATGACACATCTAGCCTATTTTCAATTTTTTTTTCGTCTGTGTTGATCTGGACCATGAGTCTGCAAATAAAGTTATCTCTCTATCTAACAAATGGAAAGTGATTTGGAAAGTGATTTGTTTTACTTTATTCAAATGTTGCCTTGGTCTTCATTTGTGATTTTCTAACAAAACATGAACAAATATAATTTATGGAATCTACACCCAGGCTAACATAAGTAAACCCTGTGAAAATTGGGGCAAGAATGCGTTACAACCTCCTCTTCAGTTCATTATGTGGTTGAAATGGAGCCTGTTGTATTGAAGGTGAATGTCGGGACTGTGCTCTTGTGAAGTACGCAGCCCCTTTGTGTAAAATTATAGCTCTAGTGTCATGTTTTTGAACAACTTTTGTCTGAATGAACAGCTGCTGGAGACAATCCAGAGATGAAGGCAGCTCTGATGGCCTAAAAAGTTTGGTTCTTTTCACTAGTTTGCACATGGATGTATTTTAGGCCCCCGTCACATTTTTTAGATCAGCTTATTGAGAGAGAAAAGACAAAAGAAATGACATTTTTACAAAGCACATCAGCTCTCAGCTCAAAGCGTCAACTAGTGACTCACAGGGTTCTTCACTGCAAAAAGTGCAACAAAATTGCACAAATTTGGCAAAATGTGCCTTAATTTGACACATGCCTTAAGACAAGATTTGCCAATGGGACAGGCAAAATGATCTTGTTTTAAAAATAAATGTCTCCCTTGGAATGAGAAAAATAAGTAACAGTTCTTGAAATAAGACTAGACGGCTTGTTCCATTGCGATCGATTGAATCCATTGATTCAAGCTATTTTTACCTAATATTTTATCATTTTTTGCAGTGTGATTAGTATGCTAAAAAAAAAAATTTATAGACAGCATGGCAAGTCTTTTGTTAGGACAAATGAAACATATTATAAAGAAGTAAAAAAGCTAGGAACCCGTTCTTTAAGTTGATAAAATGCTACATAGAGAAACAAAAAGTTCTGAATTGAAAACGTAACATGATCGCTGCAGCATTTCTCACACAAGGAATGAGATATAGCCAGTTTTTGTATTGCCTCATTCATCATTACAACATGGACTATTGTGCAAAGAGTGCAGATCTCATGATAACGGTCAAATATGGAGAATTTGCAATCTCTGCATTACATCACCTCTAAATGTCACCCCTCCCTCCTCTCCCATCCCGCCCCCTGCACTTCAGTCCACAACAGAGATGCACTTGTTCCACCTCTACCTGAGCTCACTTTGTCGAGCTTTGGACGAAACTCTAAACCAAACGTCACAAAGACATTTCCTTCAGACCGTCCGAACAAGTGAAGGATTGTGCTCTGATAATTTGCCGCGTTATAAAAGACAGAGACGCCTGTTCACAGACTGAAAATGTCAAATCCACCACCTCTGCAATCACTGCTAACACAACATTGATTTTAATGTGGGCGGGAAAATAAAACATTTAGACTGAAAGACACAAAAGTTAAAAAGCCCACCATGGTTTAACTTTCATATTTGAATGAATCTTTATTAAATAAAATGTATTGTCGGAAAAAACCTTCGCTTCAGACGTGCATCAGCTATGAATGAAGCATCACATATAGCGGTGTGCTAAAAAGGCAATTTTCAAAAAGTAATACATTTTAAATTTCTATTTGGTAATATTGATGTATATTTTATTATATTTTTCATACTTTTTCCCACAGATTCTACACAATTTTCTCAATTTATTGAGATTTGTTTGGGTGTATCGATAGTTTGTAATAACCCACATAATCGACAAAATGCAAACAGAAGCATGAGGCTGACAAGATTTTTCAACAATAAATCTTCAATAAATAGAACATACATGCACAAGTCACGTTGACATTTTTGTTCAAATGGGGCTGAGCTTTAAGTTGAGGGAAAACACTTTTTTTTTTTACTGAATTATATGAAAATATATTGCATCAAATGCTGTGTATCTAGATATCTAGGGCGGCATGGTGATGGTGGTTAGTGCTTGTGCTTCACAGCAAGAATGACCTGGGGTTCAACTCCACCTGCAGATGGGGCCTTTCTGTGTGGAGTTTGTATGCTCTCCGGTTTCCCCTACCACAAAAAACATGTACAATAGTCCCCAATAACTTCCTCCCCCACCCTTCTCCCACCCATCTTTCTAGGGCCAAGATTATTCCGAAAAACAGATTCTGAATTTTCTTCATTGTTAAATAAAGATCAATAAGGTATTATATTATTATAATGTATTGTGTAGAAACAAATACGATTGAATACGATTCAAAAAGGTTCATTTTGTCTAGATTGTTAAAATGCTATTTATGGTTCTTTTGAAAGACAAGTTGCCCCAAGCATTACCTTGTTGCACATACTGTATAACTTGCCAATACATCCAACTTGACTTTCAAAAGAACCACAAAAAAGAGGCATGCATCTGCAAAGAATAAATGATACCCAGCTTTCTTTTTTTCTTTTTTACCCAGACCCTGGGCTGCTCACCTCTCTGTCAGGGCCTTGCTCTGGTTGTCCCGTGCTGCTTGCAGATCTCTCTCCAGTCGTTTCTTCTGTGTCTCTAGTTTTTCTGCGTCGTTCGGCTCGAGTCGCGCTCGCGGCCGCACAAACTGCAGCTCTTTCAGCAGCTCCTCTTTCTCGTTGATGAGGATGAGGCGGTCACGCTCTGGATCCAACAGGCCGGGCCACGCTTCACTGTCCAGCTTTGCGATCTGCACCTCGATGTTTGCGATCCTACAAGGGATTCTTCCATTAATCTACTTTTCTGGAATAATGGATACAACTTTGCATATTTTCTAATGAAAACTGCTAATCACAAATACCCTCAACCTGAAATGACAATTCAATTTATTCATGTATCACAACAGTAGTTGTCTCTGAGGACTTAAAACCGTTGAATTCGCCAACACCGATCAGAGAATCAACAGCTCAAACACAAGAAATGCAATAATAAAAACACTTAGAGCCATAGGGCCATGACAGAGTTGGCAAAACTTTCAGTCTCTAGATTTCGACGTTTCATAATTCTTGATTTTCCTGCATTCGAGAAACCATTGTCAAGATGATTCCCATTTTTATCTTCTTGACCTTTTGTTTAAGTTTTTTTTTTTTTTTTTTTTTTACTGCTATTGTATGATGCTTGAGATTGCTTTTCAATTAATCTCTCATTCATCCAGGACTGACCACTTTCCAAAACCCAAGAGCTAATTTAAAAATAGTTTTTTTTAGACAAAGTCTTACACATGATTTCCTTCGACTTCCATTTGGGCAAATCGTCTGAACCCGAGGAGTTGATAAAAGTTTTCCAGCCTTAAGGGAGGAATGAACTAACCCCAATGTGAATTTAGAAAAATTAAAACAAGTAGTAATGGTCCATGTTTGTCACACCAAAGTACATTTTCTTTTGGGAATGCGTGGCACCAGACGACACATGACACTTGCAGTTACACAAGCTAAAACCTGTCTCAATGCATCTCTCTGTTTGTTCATGTTTATTATGAACTGCTACATCTAAAATAAAAACACAAACAGAAAAACAAGTGTAAATACCTTCTTTTGGCTTCTTCATATTTTAGACTCAGACGAACTTTCTCAGCCAGTTTGTTGTTGCTGGACATTACCTGGATGTAAAAAACCACATGTATTATTTTCATTTTAACCTTATTTTACAACTCGGTGATCTGTAATATTTCTACATGTTTGACGTGATCAATGAATACATATACACATATTTTGCTATTTAAAAGAATACGCGTTATATCTACAAGGAAAAAAGATGTTTGAAATTTTTTTATACTGTCACCAAAAATGCGGTAAGGACAACTCTTCAAAGGAGGATTTTTTGATAGCCATTTCTACACAAAGAAGGCCTTATTCATATTTGAAATTACATCTACATCATTTATATATATGTCACTGTGAGCACATGAGATTATTCTGTTTTACCGGCACCATTTTAATATATGCAGCCAACTCGCAGAGTCATACAATCTATGTTCAACACTCAACTATTCGCTAAAGAGCGTCTCAGTGGACCTGCTGCCGCCTCCGACAGCTCTACACGCTGTAAGAACCTGGACTAGAACGACGCTGTCAGAAAACCTTCAAGACTGAATCAAATAGACTTGTGTACGTTGTAGAAGATGCTGCTGCTATAGAGTCGCCGTCTTTCAAAACCATTTTACGTGAAATACAAGGTGCGGATGTATTGGAGAGAACAAGGACAGAAAAACATTTGTAAACATCTGGAGAAGTGCTACAGCAGGAAATGTCCTCCTGGCTACTTTAGTTATTTACTTTCATGTTAAAGTTCTGCCATTTCAGACCATTTTGGAACATCTTATTTGTAATTGACCTTTATTTATATTACTTGAATAAAGCAAACGTACAATGTTGATCATGTTCTCTTTTTTGTGACACAAAGTAATCCAAAAGTAATATAAATGTAATTAGTAACTTTCTTGCAGAAGTAACTAAGTAATGTAATTCATTACTTTTTTTTAGAAGTAACTAGTAATTTGTAATTACTTTTTCAAAGTAAGTTGCCCAACACTGGTTACAGGCAGGAAGATTCTGGCAACAAAAGTTGGATTGCAATTACGTTTTACTTTATAAGACCACTAAGAGTTATGCACATTCATGACACAAAATATCAGTGTAGTAATATTGTTATGCATAAAGAAATGGAAATTGAATATAGTTGTATCATTATCTCATAAACGGTGATTTTACAAACACAGCAGCAGAACCAGGCCTGACCTCTGGTGGTTCGTCCGTCTGTGATCCGGCGTCTGAGAAGAGACGGTTGATGGATAGCTCAGAGTTGGAGAGAGAAGGAGAGCTGCCCCAGAGCTCCTGCTGAGAGCCAGAGTCCAGACGAAACGCATCCTTCAACATGGCCAGTTTCTGCACCACACAACACACAACTTTTATTATATATTTATATATATATAATAATATATATTTAATTTATATATAGTCCACTTAAGACATCAGCAATTAAAGATGCTCTGTGAATTTTTGTCCTCCACCTAGAAAAATCTGCACAATTATTGTGTAAATGTGTGTGTATACAAAACCAAAACTGACCAACAATCAATAAATTAAACTTGAAACAATAGGTGAACAAAAGCAAAGTAGACATATGGAAAGACACCCAGGGGTCTCTTTACCAAATACAGACCATCTCGGGCAGTATTACTAATCCTTTACCCTTATGTTTCTAAACAAAACTATCAAAATCAAAATGTGTTTCATTAACTAAATAAAAGTTGTCACTGTCATTTTCGTTTAATCCTCCCTTCCATCCTCACTCCTTTCCCCCTTTCCTTTCCTCAATCGTCTTTCCTCCCCCTCTTTTTTCCGTTTCCTTCCGTCCCCCTTCCTTTTTTCATCCGTTCCTTCCTTCACATCTCCCTTCCTGGCATCCCCTTTTTCTTTTGTCATTGGCCCCTTCCTTCCTTCAATCATCATTTTATCTATAATAAATGAATGAATTGTGTATTTTGTCTTTATTTCTATTTTTTTTATATTTTATTTTGGTTGGATTGGTTGAACTTGTGTTTGTTCCCAGAGCAAAACAGTTGCATGGGTATTTCTAGAACAGATATTAGAACAAAAACAAAATGTAGCAGCTGAAGCTTTTATTACTAATCATAATTTGGTACTTTGGCTTCACATATTCAATCTTCCTGAAAAAGTGAGACAGGCCTCTGAACAGTTCTGTTTAGCTGTGCATACAACTGAGGGACTTTATGTTTTGATCTTTCTGTTTAATGTACTGTGATTATTTAGGATTTTAATGCCTTGGGTGATTGTTTCCATTTTGTTTTGTTCTGTACTTTGAGTTGCCTTGTGTATGAATTGTGCAATAAAAATAAACTTGCCTTGCCTTATACAGCAGATCCATTTAATATGTTAAATAAATACAAGGTAGACTGTGTAATGACAGTTTTTAGAGTAATTAAATTAAAACCAGCCGCAGCAAATACACGGACGTAAAAGGCCTTTAATCAATGCAGAGACGACCTTCTGACGCCATGCTGAGCTTTGTGAAGGTCTCTGCTGTCTGTCACACCCTTGTGTCTTTCGCATCTTGCATCTGTATGCCTGCATTTCTACCATTGTCTGTCTGTTCGCACCTCCATGCCACTGTGTCTGATTGCCTCACCACAGGACATGGCGCCTACGCTCCCTATGCGCCTCCTGCACCGGTGGCCCCCTCCCATCTGTTGTGGGCGTGACTGTCTTTATGTGTTGTCTATGTAAACAGGAAGCTGAGCTCTGCGCGCCAGAGCTTGGGTATGCAGCCTTTGTATATGTTAGCTCTCCGCACGTGTGTTACAATAAACTTACGCTCCTGAATTAAGACAAAGACCTTTGAGCTTTCTCCTTCATTGGGGTATGTAATTCTACAACAATTTGGCGTTGCTGACATGTCTTGGCATGGATACTTTCGGCGGGGACGAGCGGCCGCGTTTGGCCGACCTGGAAACAACACCAGCCTCTGCTCTATTTGGAGACAAAGGAGGGCGCGCTCGTCCGGCGCACGAAAGGAATCTTTGGCCACACAAGACCAAAAAGAACCTGATTTGGTGAGTTTTGTCTTTTCATCTGCGTAACGAGCCCAGGGCAGCACTTAAGTGTACACGGGGATTTGTTTATTTACGTATTTTTGGGGTATTTCATTCATTGCCACAGCATAGACTGTGTGCGGGATTTTTTGGGGTCTTTTGTTCTAGATTGAAGCTAGCGGCTGCGTGTTAGTAATCGCTCAGTAAGCGACCCTGATAATTTCTCTAGTGTCTTCAGCCAGACCCGCTCCGTTTCAAGAACGCGCGCTCGTTGGGTATATAGAACCCACGGGGGGGGAACGGAGCGCCCCAAAGTGGGTAAGAGCAGGGAAGAGACTAAGCGGGTTAGGTCCATTGTTCGTACGAGAAAATGGGGAAAAATCAATCTAGAGATGCCATACCGAGGGGAATGTTAACGTCCCCCGTTACAATGGCCATGGAAAAACGGTTCGGATCTAAGCTATGGAGTGCTTGCCTATGGTGCAGTTCATTTGGCTTTTTCCGATGGAGGCTATATGTCTCCGAATCAATTACGCATCTTGCGTGATAATTTAGAAGAAGAAGGGAAGAAAAAATATACTTGGTTTTAAGAATATCACGGCAAAAGACGTTAGAGAAAGAAATATGTAAAAACAATAGCTCCTCCGCTTTTCACCGAAGCGGAGAACACACAGGCGGACACACACACACACACACACACATCCCCCACACCCCCACCCTACCGCCCTTTTTCCCCTACTAACAATAAGTGTGCACCCAAACAAGGCGTTGGGTTTTTAAAAAAAATGAGCAGACTACTGTTGTCCCTTTTTCCTCTCCCTGTCCAGGTCTGTCGGCGCTTTTCCTCCGCGCTCTGTCCTCTGCCTCAAAGCACCAGCCCCACGCCCCAACCACAGGCGGCGCTCGCACCAGCTGAGACCCCGCGAGAAGTGGGCCCAAACCCGGGAGCAGAAGAAGAAGTGGCGGAAGCAGATACACGCTCAGGAAACCACAGAAGAAGAAGTGGCGGAAGCAGATACACGCTCAGGAAACCGCAGAAGAAGAAGCGGGGGAAGCAGATATGTGAGACACCGACAACTGCTTTGGAGGCCAGAGACAAACTGCTCCAAATCCCGTGACTGTTCCCCACGGAGGCGGCAGCGTGATACACAAAACGCACCCGCTGAAACCCGTTGAAAGTTGCCCCCGCACCGCAAACAGAAGAAGCCAAAAGTACCGGCACGTTTGGTTATTCACCAACCCTCATGGACCACAGGCTAACGCTTTGGGCAACCTGGGCCTCCTGCGGACTTTGAGAAACTTCCACAGCCCGGCGGAAAGACTGTGTGCTCGACATGGGTCGAAGGACTGTCACCGGAGGAGGCGTAAAGGCAGAGGCCCACACGGGGCCAGAGGACGGCAGAGGCGGGCGTGGAGGAAACACGAGCGACTGACCAAACCCGGGTTCACATTCGTCACCAAAGCGACCGCTCATGTAAGTTTGAACAACAACAAATTGCAATTGGCACTTTTTAGAGATAATTCATGCTGAATTCCCGTAATATACGCTAACAATCTGTGGTGTAAAAGTTAAAATTCTGGATGACTCCGGGGCAACAAATTCTGTGCTAAAAAGTGACAGCCTTTCTGTCTCCCCTAAAATGAGTGGCCGCTTCACATTCTCATTTGCAGCGTCGGGAGAGACGACTAAAGAGCAATTTACGTCACCGCTAACGTGTTTTGATTCTCAGGGCAACCAGCTTAAACATTCTTTTCTATATTCCCCATTGTGCCCGGTTAATCTACTAGGCCGAGACCTTATGTGCAGACTCAATTTAAATCTGCTCTCAACACCAAGCGGCCTACGGGTGGTACACGCTAGCGAGCTAGCAAATGCTCCATGTTTCACCGGCATGCACAAGGAGGCACCGGTCCCAAAAGTTAACTACCACTGGAAATTGACACCAAACCCTGAGATTGCTAAGCTATTAGCCACAACAGTGGATAGAGTGACGCCCGCACAAAATTTGGAGGTCAACCACGCGAACGACCTAAGCTGCTCTCTCCGGTCGTTCCCAGACAATAACTTGGAGTTTGAAAATTCATGGCTTCAGTGTAGTGAAGATAGGCTAACGGAGTACGTTTATTGAGATAGGCACCACTCTATGGTATCTGTGCTACTTAATGAGCAACAAAAACATTTTATCGTGAAACAAAGGTGAAGTATTAAAGTTTGAGACTAATTTACATTTTTAATGAATCCGACCTGGCTTTCTTGAAAAAGAAAAAAGAAGGAAAAAAAAACATTTTTAAGTAACAAGAGCTCAGTAGAGATATAGGGGACACAATCGGTGATAAGCCCGAGTATAGACCACGTGGTAAACACTAAAGTTGGAAATGGATCCTTTTAGGAAAAATCTTTTATAGCTCTGCATGTTCTGCAGGCTCTGAAAGTTGCAACAATAGAAATAGCTCATGAGACAATTGTAATTGGACATGGAAAAATATAACAAAGTTAAAATTACAGGCCTTCTGTGTTGTTTATATGTTTGTGTGTGTTATATGTTTGTGTATGTTATATGTTTGTGCGTCATGTCAAAGTACACTACGTTGACCTTAACTCATTGAATGCCAGCCTATTTCAGAACAGGTACTCCCATAGTGCCAGCCATTTCTGATGATTTTTACTGATTTTTCAAGACCCACAGAATATTGTGTACTATGACTATCTGAAATCCGACACCAGATTCTAAAAGAATGGACTGTCTACTTTCCTCAGCAAAAAGAATTTTGTTTATAGCTTTTTTCGTTCCCCTGTAATCCTCCGTTGAGTAGAGGGAAGTTTTACTGAAATCACCAGAAATCACCAGAAAGTTGAGAAAAAACAGGCACCAAAAACAGGGAAAATCTCTAGTGACAATGGCAGTCACTTTGTAGCAAAACATGTAGGTGCACAAAAAACATGTGCACCTACATGTTTTCAAACCATTCAGAGAGAAATGCTGCCACCTGCTGGCTCGATAAAATATGGTCTCAAGTCATCCCCATACATATTAGATACAATAGACATCTGGGAACGTGAAAATAGCGAAAAAAGCAATTGACGTATTAATGTGTCAATGGCACACGACGTTACTATTATCTTTGACGTATTTGTGCGTCAATGGGACACAATGAGTTAACAAACTGGACCAAAATACTAACGTAGGGAATCGGCCTGTGATGTGAGTGTGATGTGAGTGTGGTGTGAAATGAGGAGTGAAATGAGGAATGCTGAACGGAGAATGGAATAACAAATGTGTCTGTAATGTTTTAATGTGATCATGGAATAATTATTTTTTGTCAACAGCATAC